CGGAGCGAGCTCCATGTGAGCCACGCACCCGTTTTCGGGGCGATATACGGGGGCAGCCCACACCAAACAAGCTTCGGGGTTGATGTAGACGAAGGCAAAAGGGGCGACCCACCTTTTTGGGGGAGAGAGAAACCAAGGGGAACCGCCTGCCATTTGGTTGCAGTTCGCGGTGGACATGCGAGCCCCAAACTTGCATGGGAACATCCTCACTCCAGGGTTTCTTAGTTGGTGCGAAATGGATTTCGTCCATCCACAGCATCAATACTGAGTTCCTCAAAAAGGAAGCCAGATGCATCCCAATGGGCCTGTGACGCTTGATCAGTTCATCCAGAAGGGATGCCTAGATGTTGCTTTGCAGTTCTAGCAGCCCAATTCTCACTACCTGAACTTCCGGACTTTTGTCACTTTTTGGGCGTGGACCATTCTAGTGGTAAAGTTCGGACTTTTTTTGCCAATCCACTCAAGACGTGAGAAGTTCGATTGGATTTGGTTTGAGCGGGGCGGTGAAAGCACGTAGGTATGACCGTTACAAGGATTTGTAATCAGGGAGCCATGATAACCATAGGTGTCCATTTTTTGGTCAGTTTGATTCGAAATAGATGGCACTGGTTTAGATATTTACCGGGGGGATCTATTTTCCAAACGGTCACCTATGACGATAACATGACCTATCAGGCGGCTTTTTGCCTACATGATGGCCATTTTCCCGGTAAGGCCCTCAAAAGGGCCCAACCCCCCACCCCGTAGGTGCCCATTTTGGTCGTCTTGGTCGAAAAAATAGCCGGGTTTCGATCCCTGGCGATCCCTGGTGGTTTAGAAAGTCATCTACCAGGGAAGCCCCATCTATTTCCCCGAAGGGACACCTACGGCCCAAACCCCAAGCTGAAGCCTGGATTTCAATAGGGGTTACCTTGGCGTCGGATTCGTGGAAGCCACTGGAAGTGTCCGCTCCGGAAGAGGTGGCCACAGGGGCCTTCGGCTGGTTCGGCGGATGCTCCACACCCCGGTCCCTTGAGAACGGTGCTGGGGGGGAGGGGAAAAGGCATGAAAAGGCGGCCTTTGGGGGAAGACTGGATGGAAGTAGGCAATGTACTTTGCCAGTGGTGATTAGCAGCGAAAATGGAATTTTCATAAGCAGGGTCTATAGGGGGCCAAATCACCCCACCCCCCTCCTCGAGGGGATGAAAGCCGAAATCGCTTGATCCGCGCGAGGCCAACTGCCCAGTGGGGAAGGGAATGAACGCGGCAAGGTCTCATCAGGAACACATGTAAAAGCGTAAATATAAATGCATGCAGCATTGAGCAACAACTGTTTAAACAACTTGGCACGGAGGAATGCTGAAATCGGTAATTACCCCCCTTGAAGGGCCATGCAAAACCAGGGACTATAGTCCTTTGTGGTTGTTTTGGTCGAAAAATAGATGGCGATCCCTGGTTTACCTGTTGGTTTAGAGTCATCTATCAGGGAAACCCATCCATTTCCCCTAAAAGGACACCTGTGACTATAGGTCCTTTTGAGGTTCGTTTGGTTAGACACAGAGGGCGCCGGGGTCATCTTTTTGTTTCCAAGCGGACACCCATGGCCGGCGCATCTCTGTGCGATTTTTTATCGGCACGAGAAACATTACCGTTTCTGTTTTGGTTGGGAGGGTTCCCCTACTAAAATATACTACAGCAAACAGGGTCCCCTATTTTAACCTTTTCTACTGGAGGACCTAGATTCCCTGCCTGTGGGGCCGGTGAGGTTTCTTTCCAGGTGTCCCTTCAAAGTCCCCAAAGGTGCCCTTCAAAACCTGGGTCTCACTTTCGTGCGTGAATCTGTTGTCATTTCAATTCGGGAGAAGAACAGTTTGGTCATTTGGAGGGGGTCAAAGTTCGGGGTAACCGGAAAGGAACAGCCACATTGCTAATCAGAGGGAGTTGTTTGGAAATCTTTAGTTCTCGACTACATGTCCTGCGAGTTGATGCAAAGCCGACCTAGTGCTCTGAACCCGAGAAAGACCAAACCAAAATGGTGATGTTTGGAACCGAAGCAATGTATAGAACCCCCCCGTTCCCCGCAAAAAAAGAAGAAGAAGAAGAGAAAACGAGGTTGGCCGAGCATGCGGATTCCGAGCTTGGACAGCGGTCGGCTTTCGATCTCCGGAGAGTATTGGCCTGCCCCTCCGGTTTCGGATGCCCGGTCCAGCAGTCGAATAGTCGAATTCCGCTCTTCTTGTTTTGCATTTGCCACAAATCGGGGGGGACCACAAGAATGCTTGCTTTCCTTGGTGTTTCCCTTGAAACCAGGGTCAGCAACAAAATTCCCTGCACACTCGCGCCCGTGTTTGGTTGAGAAAATCCCAAGAATGTCTAGCGAAGAAAGGAGGCTGCCTTTCTCTACCAGGCCCAGTAGAGACCCCAGGGCCCTTGTTACAAAAACAACAACCCACTCGACACAAATCTGGGTCCAAGGCCTGGCTTGAGCCCTTTGTCTCCAAAACTTGTTGACACATTCTGGTAAACTGTAACAGAATCTGAACATCCTACAAATGAACGGAAGGAACCCCAAACTAAGTCCAACTCCCAAAAGGAGTTTCCTCCACGAAATGGTGGTGTTCTGGGTTCTATATGTTATTCTGTAGAGGAGTATTGCTTTCAGTGTACCCCAGATGCCAAGTCTTGCCCCATGAATGGACTCTCTGGGGTACCGAGCTTGGGCGGGCGGCCGAGAGTTTTTTTCGACGACGGCGTTCTGGATGCAGTTCGGGTCGCAAAGGAGAAGACCAGCGATTCAGGAAGGGACTCTGAATTTGGATTTCTTCACGTAGAAGCCTAACCTTGGTATGTTAACCCCCGTAGCAAGTAGGTTCTATCCATGTTTCAGGAACTAATTCCAACCTCAAAACATGGTTAAATTAGTGAGTTGTGGACCATCCACATGAATCTAAGAAACCAACTACACGAAATCATTCCGGAAATCCTTGCGTTCGGTTGGTATTTGCCCAATGTCCAGCAGAAATTCCTGTTCTGGCTGTTTGAGGAGGAAGTAGCCCAAATCATGCCACCCAGAGCACCTCGGGCCAATGGCGCGCGCATTGAGTTGTCCGGGCGATTGTTTTTCCGCGCACGCGATCCCGTTGGATCGCGCTCAGCGAGGGTTCGTGCACAGCTTTGCAGGACAGGCCGCCATCTGACGAAACCTGCCTCCCTACTCCAAATTCTTTCATTGTTTTGGGGGATGTCATCCCAAGAAACGAGATATTTGTTGCGGAAGACACGATTTACAATTCTATACCCTGACATGTGGGTATGTTGACCCAGTCCTTTGGGTTTTCCTGTTGCGTACCATGCTCCTTTCAGTTGCTTTGTGGGAGGCTCGTTCATGGAGGGATTTGTTGGACGGTCCTCCGGATACCATGGGCTTTCGCACCGTTTTCCCAAAGGCAGGTTTTCTCCAAGAGCTCCATGGGGTTGTCCTTGTTTTTTTCCTCCCCCCGGCTGAGTGGTAAGGAAGTTTAGGATCCGGATGGATCCGGGTTAGTTTTTCTGGGTGTCAAAAGAAATCAAAGGAGCCAACGTTGCCGGAAATAGCTGCGGCCGCCTTGCTACTTTACATGGTTCTGGGTTCACCCAATTTTTGGTACCGATCGGTTTTGAGCAAGTGACTCAAGTGTATTTCCTCGAGTGTTCAACGTGCGATAAGGAGCTGCCTGGAATTCCTCGGCGGTCCGAGGTCTCTGAAAGGGGTCGCCTCAGTTTCCCGACGGATGGAATCGTTTTCCCAAAGCCTTGGACAGCTTCTTGCCAGCTTCGAATCTGGCCGACTCAATCCCAGAGTTTCTGGACTTACTTTCTTCCCTAGAATTAGCTCCCCGTGTTCTTTCTTTTTCCTCGATTGTTTTTGGGTCCCCTTTGTTTTCCACTAATTCACCAGGCAAAAACAAATGCCGGGGTCCGAATTCCAGCCAAGCTTTGTGGGAAGAGCATTAGTAAAATGCGAAAAAAGGGGGGGAAACGAAATAAAAACCCACACCAAAAAACAACAGGTTCAGACTGTTTCTGGCCAATCCAGATACAATTGCAAACCTCGCGCAGGGAATTGTTACCTGGGGCCACGAAGAGGTATGACAGTTCTCTTCGCAGGACAGTGGCAGAAGGCCTGCGGTAAAACGAGCTCATGGTGAAGGTCCTTGAAGAAGGGGGTTGCCATGTTTCCAGTCTGGGCATTGTGCAACAAGGGCCAGATGGTGGGTTAGATGAGCATGTGCCCAAATGGGGTGCAACTGGATGTATTTTTTTGGTCCCCCTGTCAACCAACCCCAAAAAGGGTACCCAAAAGGTAGTTCGCCCGGAGGGAGGTAAAGTCTTCGGCGGCCTCAGCTCTTGTGGGGGTGTGAAAGCGGGGTTCCGGATTCGCCGGTCGGCGGGTGAAAAGTGGCGCTCGAGTTGAATCACGTTTGTGTTGGGGGACCCCCCAAAACAAGCACGCGCGCACACCCACGCACCCAGCCAGCTAGGCAGGCAGCCAGCCAGCCAGCCAGCCACCCAGCCACCACTCTGTGGGTGTGGGTGGGTGTGGGTGGGCGTGGGTGGGTGGGACTGGGTGGGTGGGGCTGGGTGGGTGGAGGCTTGGTTGCTGCAACTCCGCCTGAGGCGGATTTGCAACATTTGCGATTGACCCTTTAAAGAGGCCCAACGCTGGTAGACCCATCTGAAACCGTGAGCCGCTGGCCCCATGGAAAGCGGGGATCCCAACTTCGGCGCGGGGCTTCCAACACAATCAGGGCCCCCAGCCTCTCCTGGGAAGCGGACTCTAGCCGCGTTTTGGGTCTGGTTGCCATTTTGGTGGACAAGTCTCTTCCACTTGCTTATAAGACTACTTAATTCTATTCTCCCCTCCTGGTTTTAAAGGGAATCGATTTCACTACTTGTTTTTTTTTCTCCTTTTTTTTAAAACTTTTTTTTTGTTTTTTTTTAAAGATATAACATTTTTTTTTTTATTTATTGTTTTTCAGGGGGCGAAGAAGCGAATGGAGGGTTTGGTTCCTTTGGCGAGTGAGCCTTCCGGCGCCATGGAGCCGGAGCTGGAGGAGTTTCAGGCGGGGGGGGGGAGGTCCTTGCGGCTTTCTATGTGCGAAAAAAACGTCGTCTTCATGTCATGAACGTTTTGCGGGTTGTGGTTTTTTTTGTTGGGGGGGTTGTTGGTTTTTTTTGCGGGTTGTTGTTTTTTTTTTTTGGGGGGGGTTGGGTTCAGTTCATTTCTGGCAACGTAGTTTGATGCCATACCAAAAGTTGGAACGGGATATGTTGTGGCTTACCTTGCTGCTATGTAAGGGAATATATTACTACTGGACACATGTTTGTTCGGGGACTTAGGCAAATGGAAGGGTTTTTCCCTATGGGTTTATTCTCTAACAAGCTGATGGACCAATCTGGAAGCTGAAGTTGAACTAGGTTCTTTTTTTCTTCCTCCAACGAATGTTGTTTCATGCCACCCTCTTAGGATCCCTGATACAACCACTCAACAGGAGATTTAATATAGCCACTACTATATAGGCATACACCACTACACGAGCACTAGGGGGTATTTTGCTTGCGATGCTAGACCTACGTGGTGTGGCTTGGCATTACCAAGGTCCAATGGCCCATCTTGCAGTGGGGAACACTGGGGCAACCACGTCGCACTCGCCCACGAATCAACCTTTTGACTTTTTTGTCATTCTTGTTTGGTCCGGTTTTTAGTGGCCCCAAAAGGCTAACCTTTGATTTCTAGGTCCTTTGGGCAGCTGAGACATAGCGTGAAGGGTAGAAGCTCCATTTGATGGGGTGGTTTGGGGCGGCCTTTTTCTGCCGTGAATCGATTTCGGGAATCAACCGGACGGTCATGTCGCAAAACAAGAAATCCACTAGCCGGATGGTTCGATTTTGGGTCCTTCCCTGCTTCCCTATTGCGAACCAGCGATCCATGTCATGGCGAACAACGCCAGAAAGCACCAAGCTGGAAGTAGATGGCGCAATTCGCTTTTCGTCGGCTAGATTAAGTGCTGCTGGATTTGAATTGCCGTTTGTTTGAGGATCGCTGCATTGGATTGGGCTAGGTTTTCAAATGAAGCTATGTAAACAAATTCGAGTTTCGGGGCTGCAGTCTTGCTTTCTTCGAGAATTGTGGTCTTGACTCTCCGTTTGCTCAAGCTCGATGTTTTGTTTGCGCTACATGTGTTGCACTTTGTCTGATACTTCCAAGCGGGGTGGAGCCCTGGGTTTGGGCCAGACCCTGCCACTCCCCTGAAAGAAACCATCAGGCATGGTCTTCGGCGTTACAACTCACTCCCCGTGGACGAGATCCTGCACCCAAGAAACCAGGGAATGATATTCGACTCCCTTGCATAGGTGTCCGTTTTGGTGGTGTTGCTCGAAAAATAGATGGGTTTCGATCCCTGGTTTACCTGGCGGTTGAGAGTCATCCACCAGGGAACCCCCATCTATTTCCCCCAAAAGGACACCTATGCTTGGGACCTGTGCCTCACTCCACCTCAACCCGGAGATAAATCGCGTTGGGCGCATTTTTTGGGCCCGGGCCCGGGCGCGGACGCGGCCCGAAGCCGCCTTGTTAAATGACCTCCATTTGCTGAAATGAAAATGTTTTATTCTCCCTTGTTGGTTTTAAAAGGAATTCATCACCACTGGACATATGTTGGTTTTTTTCCCGGGGCCTTTTCCAATGGAAGTCCATGTTGGTATGAAACAGGTCCCAAGTGACACCCGCCCATTGGAGCGATGAATTATTTGTTGCTCCTTTTCTCTGACCCAAGGTCTAGGGGTACCTGCCTTTTGTCAAACACCATCAGGGCTCCTTCTTTTCCTTGTACATTCTTTCAAGGGATCATAATTTCTTTTCAGGAAGCCAGGCAAAAATATCCAGACACAGGTCCGGTTTTTGAAGAGAGCCCTGGTTGAAAACGCCTTGTGGACATGCCAATCAGCCGCTCATTTCCCCCACAGGTGGAGCAGCTGCGGCCCTTCTGCTCGGATCTGCTGCGGCAGCGCCGGCAGCTGCTGGGCCAAGTGGCCAGCCGCGAGCAGAGCTGCACGCAGCTCCTCAGCGCCTCGGCTCCGGAGCCGGAGAGGGAGCTGGGGGTATTTGGCTCTGGGTCAAACCCCAAAATGGGTGGTAAATGGGTGCCCAAGGACCAAACCCTGCGTTTTTTGCCGGTTTTAATTTTGACCCGTACTCATTTGAAGTCTTCCAGTTGCGCAATCACTTTTTTTTGTTTGTTTTTAACTAGGTCTTTCAGTAGTGCCCTTTTACCGTTTCTTTTTTGGTTGGGAGGGCTCCCCTACTAAAATAGACTACAGGAAAAAAGGCTACTCTTATTCTAACCTCTCTACTGGAGGATCTAGATTCCTTCCATTTACTCCAGAATATTTTTTATTCAGAAACCAATGCTGTGAGTGGTGTTTTTGGGGGAAGTCCTGCTCAGTCATGGCAGCCTGGGGCTCTTTCCACTTGGACCTCACTATCAGGGCTCAGTCTTTTGAACTCTGATCCGGCTGCATAGTGGCCGGATTTTGGGGGTTTTCAAAGTTTTCTTTGTGGACATACGCAGTCCTGAGAGTAGGGTTTCCCATACATAGGAAGCCTCCGAAGTGTGGATTTCATGGGACTTGCTGGTGTGATGGGCAGGGAATGGGAATGGAATCAGCCCGCCTGGGTTCATTCCTTCTTAAATTCTCTACCGATTTCGAGCAGAGCCCTTTGCTTGCTTAGCAAGGCTCACAGAGATTAAACAAAAACAAAAAACATGTTATGTTTCCCCTGTTGGTTTTAAAGGGAATCGATTTCACAGTTTATTAGTTTCTTTTGTTTTAATGAAAAGTGTAAGTGTTAAGCATTTGCAAGCTCATGGCCTGGTAAATGGCCACAATCTTAACTATGCAGGGGGCTAACGCACATGGAAGCTTCCGGGATTCGCATCCCGGAGCCGGTTCGGAGTTCGGCGTTCGGAGCGAGCCGCTGGGAGCTAGGGGAAGTTGGCTGAAAATGGGTGGCCTGGTAAATGGAAAGGACCAAAACCTGCGGTCCATTTCCTGGTGGCGACTAATTTTGACCCGTCATTTGAAGTCTTCCATTGGCTCAACATGTCTTTTTTGCTCAAAAGTATTTTTACTAGGTCCCCCAGCTAAGTGGCCTTTTACCGTTTCTTGTTTGGGGGAGGGTTCCCCTACTGAAATAGACTACGAAAAAAAGGGTATCCTTATTCTAACCTCTCTACTGGAGGACCTAGTTTATTTTCCCTTGTTGGTTTTACAGGGAATCGATTTCACTACTGGAAACATGTTCATTTTTTCCAGGAACCTTAAGCAGATGGAAGTTACCCTAGAATTTTGGAAGCCGTACCAAAGTGACGAAACAGAGAGGTTGGAGTACTTAAAACCTTACAAAAGCTGGTACTCTGGATGGCGTGAATCCGAAAAAGGCAAGTGGACCAAATACAAACCACAAAGCCCTGGTAAGGCACAGGGAATTGGAGGGGCCTGTTCCTTTGTCTCATGCTTGTGAATATGGGTGCGTCGTTTTTTGGCGGTACCCTTTTTTGTGGTGATTTTCAGGGACACCAAAAGGACAACCGCGCAAAATGGTGCATGTTTGTTTTCTCCCCCCCACGTTTGGCTTGGTCGAAAGGCACGCCATTATTGTATCCATTTTTTGAAGTTGAAACTGTTTCGGAGTTAAGGACATGGTTCCCTTACTCTGGGGGCCAGCAAGCTGATTGCCACCGTTGCGGAAAGTGGGGTTTAGTTAATGCCCAGATATGGAACTAAGGAATCCCTACTCATAGGAAGGGTTCATGTTGGTATGAAACAGGTCCAAAGTGACCACCCGCCCAGTGGAGCGATTGATTGTTCTGGCTGCCTTTCTTTGAAGACCAAAGGTCTAGGGGTACCTGCCATGTCCATTCTTTCCAGGGATCCGAATCTTTTCAGGAAACCATCAAGAACCCAGGGGAAACCGCGATCGGTATTGAAAAGAACGATGGTTGAAAAGAATGGGGAATCAACCCCTAGAAAAGGACATTTGACATACTTGGTCCTTGAAAGGGTGCTTCCCCCCCACCCCCTAACACGACTGTCTTTGTTCCAAGCTGATGTGATTCTGTTCTTTGCACTTTTTACATCCAAAGTCAACGACCCCCCGAAAGGACGCGCCCACTTTCTGTCCCTGAGGGGGTATGGGAATTGGAGGTTTGGATATCTTTTTTTTTTTTGCCCATCAGCTTGTGAGGCAGGAGGAAAACAAGCGCAGAGGTCCACAGTGTCCATATCATGCAACACCGTGTGCGGGTGTGTTTTGTTCTAGGGACGGAAAATGTGGTTGTCCTCATGGTGTCCCTTGAAAAGCACAGCAAGAGGCGCCATCAGCATTGACATGCCCATACTTGAACATGCCCTTGATTCAAAGTTACCGCCAAAGTCAAAACCCGAGGAAATTAATTTTAATAGGGGCAGTCCCAGCCAGCAATATATCTTCCATTACATGCGGATGTTGGTAGACCATTTTACCAGGTTTTGATTGTGACTCATGTTGAAGACCAAAGGACATTTGAAGTACTTGGGGACCCACAATTCCGGGTCCTTGAAAGGGTGTTCCCCCCCCCACCCCCCAACACAACTTGCTTTTCCAAGCTTAGTCTTTTTTGTTCTTTGCATTTTTGCAGACAGAATGCCCTGTTTTTTTAAAGAGCAGATTCTGAAACAATTCCGCATTGATGGGAAGATGGCGATCCCCAGTTCTACCCCAGACTTACCTTGTTTGTACGGGTACGGATGCGGGTATGCTATCAAGCCCCCCACCTCAAGTACTCTAATGTGTTTACATAGTTTTGGTTGTAAGCTTGGCTATACTATAGACCAAAATCATATATATATATATATTTGTGGAAATGGTTGTGCTGGGACTCTTATGATAAAGGCCGAATCGTTTGCCGGTCTGCGTGTAAATTGCACCCCCCATTAAACAAGCAAAAAGGAACAGGAGGCTTTCCCAAAAGTCTTTTCAAACCCTCCTGCCAGCTTTCATTCTTGGTTGGAGAGTGGGCAAATTGTATTTCCCTGAAGTGTGTTCCTCCCACGCAAGTGTTTCTTTCCTATCAGTAAACCAGGCATTTTGTTCCGTAAGCAAATGGTTGTTGTTGTTCCCTTGCCATAGCAAGGCGTCCCTTCAAACAGTTTGTTCACGTTAAACACAATGGCTTTCACTTCAAGTGCGTGCATGATTCCCTGTTAACATGTGGTTTCTCACGTTGAACTAATGTTGTTCACTTTTAACAAGTTGTATTTCCGTTTGGATCAATGTTGGTTTACGTTGAGCAAGTGTGTTTCCATTTAAGCAATTCGTTTCCCTTGAAACACCATGTGTTTCCTCAAACCACATGTGTTGTGTTACGTTGAACAGCAAACGGTTGCCCCCTGCAAATAAATAGTTTTCTAAGTCAAACAAGTTGTTTCCATTCAGTTAGTTGTGTTCCTTTGAATAAACATGCTGTTTCCCGTGAATAAAGCTTTTTCCCTTAAACATGGTCTTGCATTTGAGGCCAATGGATACATATAGTGGCGCTTTAACAAATGGTTTTACCTTTAAGCTATTTGTTTGTCCACTCAAATAAATGAATGATGACGTTTACTCCCGTAAACACTGGTTATCCCTTTAAATGTTTCATTTGAAGCATATTAATATGTTTTCCCATTTAGACAATCAGTTGTGCACTGTGGTTTGTTCATTCACACAAACGCACTTGTCCTTTAGATGAACAATACTTTGCCATGACAGCAAACCGTGGTTCTCTTTAAGCAGACGGTTTCTCACGTGAAACACGTGTTTTGTCCATTTAAACAAAGTCGCTTGAACCACATGACCCCCTTTAAGCACTGCGATTGTCCATTCAACCAACTGTGTCTCCCCTTGAAGCACCATACTTCTCCATTGAAACACTTGGTTTGCCCTTTTAATCAACTTATGTGCCGCCCCAAGCAAATTGTGTGTCTTTGCAAATGTGAACGATAACACATATTTGGTTCAGTGGACATGGAGAAACAGGTGATTTCAACACCATGTGTTTCCTTTAAGCAAATGGTTTGTCAATTCAAACAAATGACTTTAACAATACTTGAAAGAAGTGGTTCCCCTTTAAACAGATGGAGATTCCCTCAACCAAATGTGTTTTCCGAACCACACGTTCTCCCTTACACCTGGTTGTCCTCTTTAGGCAAATAGTTTCTCACTTTGAACGAATGGTGTTTCTTGGTGAACGAACTGAGCTCGACGGTTTTTCCATTCGGGTATGGGTCAAAATTAGAAGCACCAGGAAACCGCAGGTATTTGTCCTGGTTTCCATTTGTCGATCGGGCCACCTGGAGTCTCCATGACCCTTACAAAATGAGGTCATTACCCAAAATGAAGGGGTCATGGACCCATTTTTAAGGGTCATGGAGACTCTAGTAGCAGACCCATTTGGCTGTGGGTTAAAAGCAATGGTACCACTTTGGTAGGTGAATTCACCACCCATTTTGGAGCCTATTTTAGTGGTTGGATTGGTTGATGTTCACTGATATGGGTTTTGACCCATGGCCATTTAAGGACTTGGTTTTCGACTTCCCTCGCGTGCTTTTTTTCCTCAGGTGAGAACTTGGAACTGCGGTGCCTTCAGGCCTTTCGCGCATACGAGCAGAGCCCTTGGACCCCTCAGCATCACCTCCATTGGCTGAAATGAATATGTTGTTTCTTCTCCACTTCTTGGTTTAAAAATTTTAAAAGGAGTCCATCACTATTGGAAATCTGTTTATTCTTTCCTGCGGCCTTAACCAAATGGAAGATAATGGGTCAAGATTGGAATTTCCTTGCGGTTGTCATTTAAAACCGCCAATAAAGAGGGCGAGCTCCAAAAAGACATCATGGCGAGCCTTGGTGAACAAGCCCGGATGCAGAGTGGGGGGTGGGTTTCTGTGGATTTGGTGGGTTTTGTGTTTGGTTCACCGGCTCCACTTGCCGCGAAAAAAGAACATGGTCAATCAAACTTGAAACAACTTATTAAGAGCATCGACAGAACTTCTTGGGCACCACCTTGCTCAACATTTTGCACACCAAACTCGCCCCAAACCCACCTTAAACCCGCTCTTAGCCAAACAACCCTAAACCAACCCGCAAACTGACCCCCAAACAAAGCAACCGCATGCCCGACAAGTTTGTTTTTGATGTCTGATCACTTTTGTGTGATGAGGCAATGGTCCAGTCTTGCTACTTTGTTTTGCAGCAACATGGCGCATAAGTTATTCAGTTGATGCTTAAGTTGTGTGCCTCACCCATTTTGAAAGCCTGTTCAATCTCGATGCGGGGAGGGGGGGGGAGGGGGAGGGAGGGGAGGAGGGGGGGAGGGGGGGAGGGGAGGGGGGGGGAGGGAGGGGGGGAAACGAACCGGAAATGAAGGGGGAATGAAGCGTGGTCATGCCACTGTCACAGCCATATTTCAAGGGTCCGTACATGTCGCTTTGTAAAAAAAAGCTATGTTTGCGGGATCAACCCTGCGGCAGTGTTTTTGCTTGGGGAGGGAGACATACACAATGTCGGCAATTCCGGCGCTGTCACTGCCATAGTCAACCTGCAGGAGTCCACTTGGTTTTGGGTTCTTAGCGCTTCTCAAGGAAGGAAGATCAGAAAGGTGGGACCTCTCGCAGATGGGGGCCGAATGCAAGGCCATAGACTAAATAGTAGTTGCTGTGATCATTTATCCCACCATCCCCAAACACGCCATGCCCGCCCTGCAGGTGGGCTTGCTTCCAAGAAACGGGTTGCAAGAAGGGATTTCACCCTTGAAACGTGGAAGCCCGCCACAACAACTTGGAGGGACAGTTCTGATCTGAGGGGGTCCTGGAAAAAAACGTTAGACCCACAGCGCAAATCCAGATCTAGCGCAAATCTAGATCTTGGCAGCAAACCAGGTTCGGACCGTTTCGCGCCCTCCATAAGCAACCGGAACGCAATTTGGCTTCGTGTTGGCACCTGCGGCTTAGCCGCATAATTATGGAGCCCCCCCCCCCCTCCCGTGATTTGCTCAAGTGCTTGCTGGAACACCACACCAGTCCAATTTATGCTGTCCATGGATTCTTCCATGGCGTTCAAAAATGATACACTGATACACCTGCAGCCCCTTGATTACCCAGCCGCCATAATCTTGGCATGATTTGTCCTTTGTGAGGCCCCTAACGCATTAATTCCTTCTGCCTATGTTCGCCCCTCACCGACCCCGCAGGCAAACAAGTTGGCACGAGAAGTTGGCAGGTGAAATAACTCTCGACAAGTTGGCATGAGAAGTTGGAAGGTGAAATAACTCTCGGAAAGTTGGCAGGCGAAGTTTGCAGTCGCAATGCTTCCGGGAGAAACATCTGATCTGCAAGAGATCCGGGCTTTCTCCCCCCGAAAAATCGCCTTCTGCCTGACCTGAAGCCCCTTTTTTTTTGCTCCGAAGCTGCGAGCCGCGGTTTCCGTCCAGCGCTTTAGGCGCGGATGCTGGAAGCGCTGGGCCGGTGCGGCTTGGACCTGGAGCAGTTCCTGGCAGAGGAGATGTGGCAAGTCGCGCCCAAAAAAAGTCCAAAAACCCAAAAACAAAAAACAAAAAACAAAAACAGAACAAACAAGCCAAAAAACAAAACAGAACAAACGAAACTCACAAATTACAACAACCCAGAGGAGATTTGTCACCCCAAAAAAACCCTTTCAGGGCAGTGCTTGAAGTGGAATCCACTTGTGATACAAGGGCCTTCCTAAAGACCAACCCCCTATTTGAAGGCTTGAAACGGAATTTGCAGTGACACAAGGGCCGCCCAAAAGACATTTCCACCCCCCCCCCAAAGAAAAAGACATGGGGTTATTTACCTTGTATCACAGAAGCGGGGATGAAGCCAAGGCTCAATTCGATTTTAATTGGGGCCCTAAAGCCAGGTCTTGAGACCCCCAAAACACCTTCATGCAGGGTGTCCAATGGAGGGGGGTCTTCCCACTCAAAGCCTGACAAGGTTGTGGGCAGGTAATTGATACGGTAAATGTGAATATGTCACCTGAATGGATTGTTTGGGGCGGTGGGGGTTCCCTAACAAACCCGGTTTGGGTCGCTAAGGAACCCCACTTCAAGGGGCGATTGGGTACTTAGTAAGTGGGTTACTTAGGAAGTGGGTTATAACCAGGCTGCCCCTTTGAGTAGGGCTCTCAACTACCCACCCCCTTGCTTTTGTTTAAAAGGTGGGTTTGGTGGGTTTAAGAAACTCGTGAATCCGGGTTTGAGATTAATGTAGAGAATGGGGGCCCATTTTTTGGGCTTGTTCTTCCCCAGATAGCTGAAAGCTTCAGGTCTTTTTAGCTTTGGAAAGTGATTTGCGAGCTCTTGATGGACTGGAGCTAGGGGGCGTGCAGTTTGGGGTTCTGGTGTATTATGGCAGTGCGGGCGCATCGTTTCAAGATTGACAGTAGGGTGCAAGGGGGCATGCATGCAGCTTGGGGTGCTGGTGCAGGTGCTGCTTTGGGGAGTGACGGTGCGTGCATTTTTGCATCCTGACGGTGGGGTGCAAGGGGGCATGCATGCAGCTTGGGGTGCTGGTGCAGGTGCTGCTTTGGGGAGTGACGGTGCGTACATGTTTGCATCTTGACGGTGGGGTGCAAGGGGGCATGCATGCAGCTTGGGGTGCTGGTGCAGGTGCTGCTTTGGGGAGTGACGGTGCGTGCATTTTTGCATCCTGACGGTGGGGTGCAAGGGGGCATGCATGCAGCTTGGGGTGCTGGTGCAGGTGCTGCTTTGGGGAGTGACGGTGCGTGCATTTTTGCATCCTGACGGTGGGGTGCAAGGGGGCATGCATGCAGCTTGGGGTGCTGGTGCAGGTGCTGCTTTGGGAGTGACGGTGCGTGCATTTTTGCATCCTGACGGTGAGGTGCAAGGGGGCATGCATGCAGCTTGGGGTGCTGGTGCAGGTGCTGCTTTGGGGAGTGACGGTGCGTGCATTTTTGCATCCTGACGGTGGGGTGCAAGGGGGCATGCATGCAGCTTGGGGTGCTGGTGCAGGTGCTGCTTTGGGGAGTGACGGTGCGTGCATTTTTGCATCCTGACGGTGGGGTGTAAGGGGCATGCATGCAGCTTGGGGTGCTGGTGCAGGTGCTGCTTGGGGAGTGACGGTGCGTACATGTTTGCATCTTGACGGTGGGGTGCAAGGGGGCATGCATGCAGCTTGGGGTGCTGGTGCAGGTGCTGCTTTGGGAGTGACGGTGCGTGCATTTTTGCATCCTGACGGTGGGGTGCAAGGGGGCATGCATGCAGCTTGGGGTGCTGGTGCAGGTGCTGCGTTGGAGATTGACGGTTCGTGTCCAGCACTTGGGGTGCTGGTGCAGGTGCTGCTTTGGGGAGTGACGGTGCGTGCATTTTTGCATCCTGACGGTGGGGTGCAAGGGGGCATGCATGCAGCTTGGGGTGCTGGTGCAGGTGCTGCTTTGGGGAGTGACGGTGCGTGCATTTTTGCATCCTGACGGTGGGGTGCAAGGGGGCATGCATGCAGCTTGGGGTGCTGGTGCAGGTGCTGCTTTGGGGAGTGACGGTGCGTACATGTTTGCATCTTGACGGTGGGGTGCAAGGGGGCATGCATGCAGCTTGGGGTGCTGGTGCAGGTGCTGCTTTGGGGAGTGACGGTGCGTGCATTTTTGCATCCTGACGGTGGGGTGCAAGGGGGCATGCATGCAGCTTGGGGTGCTGGTGCAGGTGCTGCTTTGGGAGTGACGGTGCGTGCATTTTTGCATCCTGACGGTGAGGTGCAAGGGGGCATGCATGCAGCTTGGGGTGCTGGTGCAGGTGCTGCTTTGGGGAGTGACGGTGCGTGCATTTTTGCATCTTGACGGTGGGGTGCAAGGGGGCATGCAGCTTGGGGTGCTGGTGCAGGTGGTATTTTGGGATGTTGTTTGGGGTGCTTTTTGGTGTTCACGAGATTGACGGCTGGGTTCTTGGGGGGTGCTGTTTGGGGTGCTCTTGAGGGTGACGCTGCGGATCGACCGCAAGGTGCAGAAAGCAGTGTGGGGATTTGTTTGAGGCGCTGGTGACGGCGCGGGCGCAGTTTTGCGACCTTGACGCCCGGGTGCCATCGGGCATGCAGGTGACGGTGCAGGCGCATTTTTGCATTTTGACGGTTGCATGCAAGCGGGCATGATGGGGCATGCAGCTTGGGTTGCTGTTGCAGGTGTTTTGGGATGCTGTTTGGTTTGAGTTACGCTCTGTAGGGTGACGGCGCAGGCGCATTCTTGCGAGATTGAAGGCAGGGCGCAGGGGGGCATACGGTTTGGGGTGCTGGTGCAGGTGCTGTTTTTGGATGCTGCTTGGGGTGTTGTTGGAGGATGCTAGTGACGGCGCGGGCGCATTTCTGCTCGATAGACGGCTGGGTGCTGTTTGGGCTGTTGGGAGGTGCTGGCGTGAAATCATTGCTATTTGGAGTCTATGCTGGTGTAATTTGACCCCCTCCCATGGTGGGGTTGGCGCCCCGATTTGCTAAAATTGGAAATTTCTCAGTCTGGAGTGGTTGACCCCATTGTGTAGAATCGGCGGAGTTGGAAGATCCAATTTTCTAAAACCCGCATATCCGCGCAGCTATTTGGTTGCCCAAGTCTGGATGGATTGTAATGGCCTGGCCCTCAAACAGCAAAGACTTATTTGTAGTTCTGTGCTTGGCGTGTTTTGTTAATGCACGACAAAAGCGCTTCCATATACTTTCACAGAATCTCAGCTCGGGAAAAGGGCAAGTTTTTTTTTTTTGGGGGGGGGAGGGGGTGGGCGTTGAGGGTCTAAGCCAACCGGTGTAATTGTTGTTTATTTCCCAAGGACTTGCAAGTGAAAGGTCGTGCTGGAGGGTTCCTCTTCGCCGCACTGGGCTTGCGTTGTTTTGGTCATTTGGTTTGGCCATGCGACAATTGATGTCCCGGATGACTTGTGACCACTTTCCTCGAAAATGATTTGGACAAGATACACCCTTAGAAGCACATTGCCAAGCTTCCCGTATTTTGACTGTGTTTAAACCGGTATACCAGTGTTTGAGATTTGTTTTCTAGAATTGTGTTCGATTCCCCTTCCCTGACGTAGGGCCCAATTTTCAGGGTTTCCCTTTGAGTTGCCTGCCCCTTAAGGCAAGCGTGCCTGCGTCCAGGTATAACGAGCTCACCATGAAGGTCCTTTACTTTGTTATAGCATATGCCAGCTTTTAGAATTCCGGTGGGGGACGTGTGGGGGCGTTTGGGACCCGTCAGGACTGGCTTCCCCTATGATGTTCGAAGAAATGTTTGGGTGCGTGTGGTTTTTTGAGGCCCCTTCTTGCTGGGTTGAAATGGACACCACAAGCAAAACCACAGTCCTCTCACATGGCGATCGCTGAAAAGGTCCTTTACATGGGCTGGCCGTTTCCAACCACAAAAAAGTGAGACGTGTCAGCCACATTCTAGGGGTTGTTTCCCCATTCGTTTTACAACCATCGTTCTTTTCAAAAACCAGCCGTCTTGCCTTGTCTGGAGGCTTTCTAGAAAGGATCCCTTGGACATAGAAGGTACCCCTAGACATGGGCGACGTTCCCTCTGGTCATTTGGCCGTGGGTCAAGCCTAATGGGATCCCATTTCGCTTGGTAGGTGAATTCACCACCTGTTTTAGAGCCTTGAGTGGTTGGATTGAATCGGATGTTCGCTGGGGGCTAACCGATTTGGATTTCGACCCATCGCCATGTCGGGGGATTCCAAAAACCACCCCGCCGGCGGAAACCCCGGGGGCGCCTTCCTGCGGATAACGTTTTTTCAATTTCTCCAGGACGCCCGCAAGCTGCGCATGGCGCAGGCGCCGCGAAGCCGGCGGATGCCCGAGCCGATGAGATGTCCTAGGTCCCCCAGCTAGGTGCCCGACCTCTCACCGTCTTTTTTGGGGAGGGCTCCCCTACTAAAATAGACAAAGCCGAAAAGACAATCGGGTACCCTTATTCTAAGCTCTCTACTGGAGGACCCAGTTTCAATATCATGGGGGCTGGTTCACAGGTGTCCCTTTTTTGTCGAAAATAGAGGGCGATTCCTGGTTGACTTGGTGGTTCAATCACCTGCCAGGGCCATCTATTTCTTTAAAAGGACACCTAGGGAGCCCTAAAGCCTTATTTAGGGCTCCTTCCCCCCCTTCCCTCCTCCCCCACAGCCCGTTTCAATAGGGGTGTGGCTCAAAATCTTAGAGCCGGGGTCGCGCAGGTTTTGGTCTTTGTTTCCATCTACCAATGGGCCATCTTGGCGACGCCTTATGAGCCTCAGCCAACAGGGAACGTGGAGTAGGCCTGTGCGTGCGATGTTTGCGAGACGCGCGGACCTCTAACTACTGTGGATGGACGAAGTCCATTTCGCACCACCTAAGAAACCATGAGACACCATTGTATTTACAGGAGAATCAACATTTCAGGGTTTCTTGGGTGGTTCAGGATTTCGTCCATCCACAGTATGGCAAGGGTTGCGATTCAAGCATCATCCACTCACTTGCCCAAAGCCAACCTTGTGACCTTTTAGCTTCCCACGTGTAGCCTATGTTTAGTAACGGCCCAAAATGTGAAGTTGTTATGAGCAACCATCTTTAAAGAGGGATGTATGGACACCATCAACTAGGTCCCCCAGTAGTGCCCTTTTTCCCCTTTTTTTGGGGGAGGGTTCCCCTACTAAAATCGACTACAGAAAAAAAGGGTACCCTTATTCTAGCCTCTCAAATCTGGAGGACCTAGTCAAAATGGTAAGTTTGGGGCGCACAAAATGATCTTGATGTGGCTCGGACCCACCACCGCAAGCCCAGCAAATTCAAAAGAATGGCACCAAGGACCAACATGAGAGGGGTGCCTAGGTGCTTTCCTGTCTCAATAACTGGGGTAGACTTAGGATACCTTTTCCAATGACTCAAGTTGAAGCAGACAATCAAATATACATTCTATAACTGGGCCTAACTCTAATCATGATAAGAAGGAACCCGATACATGCTCTGTGGTCATCCTTGAACAGCGCGGGAAAATCTACAAGCAGAGACGGATTGGTCCAACGCACGGCCTTCATCTGAGGGTGGCACCCGGAATGAAGGCTAGCCAGGCTTAACTTATGGAATCCTTATGGGGATTGAAAGGGGGGGGGTTCTACGGCTCCCTAAGGAACCCTCCCCCCTTGTACCTACCTTGCACCTACCTCCCTTGACCTTTTGGCTTTTTTAATGTTCTTCAAACTTCCCATTCAGCAAAATGCTCACTTGCTGGGGGTCCAAGTCTGGCCGAGCTAAATGGGTGATAGCAAAAGGTTCTCCACGCACGGACGGCGAAAGTGGGTTCAAAGATGAAGGATGCGTTTTTGTCGTTTTTAATACTGTGGATGAACAAAATCCTGCACCACCTAAGAACCCGGGAATGATGATTCCCCTGCAAATACCAACAAACAATGGTTTCAACGCGGTGCGAAATGGATTTCGTCCACAGTATCAACATTTACTGGCTGCTGATTTGGGTGGCCTTGCGAATCGGATGATTGTAACTCTTGGGGATCTTAGGCCCATCCTACATCAATGTCCCTCCTTAGGAGCCTGAGGGCTGGACCAGGTTCCGTTTCATCGGGGGCAGAGGGACCTTTTGATGTACCCCAAGCCTGACCGAAACCATTTCGGTCGCAGAAACCAACATCCCCGTTTCGGTGAGCTTGGGTATGTGTCAAAGTCAGACCATCCAAAACTGGCAGAGATGCGATTGGCTTCCGTCTGAGCCAACCTGAAAAGGGTGCCCTCCCAAAAACAACACCTAAGTTTCCTTTTTGGGATGTTTGGTCGAAAAATCGATGGCGATTCCTGGTTTACCTGGTGGTGTTTTTCTCATCTACCAGGGAAACCCATCTATTTCCCCTAAAAGGGCACCTATGAACACCCATCTTACCTTTTGCTTTGCTTTGCCAACAACAAGTTAGGGGTCCCATCGAGTGTGGTGCTTCCGCCTCGACTCCTCGACAGGCAGACAAGCAGCTGGAAGATGAGCTCAAAGAGATGCACGCCGTGGTGAGCGACCAGCAAAAGCGGATCGACATGCTCCTCAAAGAGAACGAGCGCTTGCGCCAGGCTCGGCGATTTTTTTTCTCGTGGAAGGCTGGCCCCAGGTATACCCAGAAATAAAAGGTGATCACCTTTTGGGGCCATGACTAAGAATGGTTGCCACAAAGGGGAAGCTAAGAGGTCAAAAGGTGGATTCACAGTTCTGTCTTCCAGGCTGGCGCATTTTGCTGTTTCAGGCGATACGGACTCGCTCATTTTATGCAGCCCAGTCGCGCCCTTCGGCTGCCGCAGGTTCTTTTCAGATGGGATAGGCTCCAGGTGGTTTCCGGCTCTTCATGTCCTTTGGGAGGTGTGCATTCATCGCAGAGGTCCCTGTTGAATTATGTTTCTGGTGGTTGGAAGGACACTCACGGCTATTATGTACCCAAGTAGGAGGTGGTTGTGGTCGGGGGGGTCCTTTTTACAAACTTGTCCGACACTATTACTTCCTCAGCCCGCTGCTTCAAGGCCCAATGAAGTTCATGAATCGACGCCGCAACGGCAAATTTGGGCCAATCAACCACGCGGGAACCGCTGGAGAACTAGTGAAAATACAGAAACAGCGAGCCGAAACACTTTGCGTAATAAGCAACGTGAAAAGATCGTGTCAACCCTGTGACAACAGGGTGAAAACACCGTGCAACCCCGTTGCATTGACAAGCTCAATGAGCAGCAACAAGCGTGCCTGCGGTGCTACTTACCGGTAAGATGTGAGTTTACTGAATCGACGCTTAAAGAACACAGTTTTGTTTGGAGGTGTATGTACTCCATGCAAGTCTTACTAGAACCCCAAAGCGGTGTCCCAAAAAGAAGGCTATCCCCCAAAGACGCGCAGTTCTGGACAAGGGCCTCAGGCAAACAAGTTTTCCGGGGATCCCTTTCCTCCATTGTTTGTGGGTGGAATGGTATCACTGCCAGACTTATCTGTTTGCCCTTGTGCCTGTTTTGTTCTCCTTCAGGTTCCTTTTCAAACGAGTAGACTGTAGACTCGAACACTGCGGCTGCCCTACGCATTGCAAGTGCACCGACCACAAAGCCGTGGTGAATCACGGAAAATTTGCGAGAATGCAGAATGAATCAAGGTGCAGAATTAGTGAATCACTGGGCAGAATGCCGAAGCTTCACTTTTGGGGCTCCCAATCTGCTTGGCGCCAGGGGCCGGGGCCGCCGCCGGAGGCGGAGGCGAGAAGTTTCGACAAAGGGCGCACGCACGGCTTGGCTTTGGAGCTGAGGACGGAGGACGTCGCACCGCTTTGAAGCCATGGGAAAGAAAGGGTTCGTTGGTCTTGGCAGGGAAATCGTCACCCCAGGGTTTCCTAGGTGGTGCGAAATGGATTTCATCCATCCACAGTATGGGACGTATGTGTATATATATATATATGTGTGTGTGTGGGGATGCCCTTTTCGGGCTGGTTTGAAAAGGACATGGACAGCCACCACGTTTGGGATCCCTGGATCAGGCGTCGGCCTGAACATATTGGCCAAGTTTGACCATCGGGGCCGGCACAGCGCAAGATGATTTGTTCATTTGGGGCGGAGAAAAAGAAGTGCATTGCAGACTACAGGGCTCCTTGAAATTTGAAACATGTGGCTTTTTCAACACCAAAATAAAGGGAAACCACCATTTGCAAGTTGCAATGTTCAGGTGTAAAATGTAAGGATCCCTGTTCTGGCATTCAACACGCAAATGAGGACGTTGTTATTCCACAAAGCAAGCTCACAAAGTTGCGAGGAAGCCCCTGAGCAACCTCGATTTGTTTTGGGGTTTCTCAAAATAGCGGTCCTAAAATGTGTTTTTTGGTTTCTATTTCGATACCTCTGTTTCTTTGTCTTACTCCCTGAGTTCCTGGACTTTACACTTTTTGGGAAGACCATTTTTTGATATAAAGAACAACATGGACTTTTGTTGACCAATCCAGTCGGGAAGTATACCTTCCCTAGTGATTTCAAAGGGAATCGAGTTCACTGGTTTGGATTGTGGTTGGGTTCGGATTTGAACCGCTGGTTCTTCTAGATGGCAAAAACCACTACACCACCGGGCTCCACCCATTGGAGGCAAACCAAACGAAAAGACAAGACCAAAACCCCGGGCGAGCTGGACCCGCACCAGCGATTCTCAAATCCCTCGCTTTTCTCACGAGGTTTCCAATCACCAGCCAGGGTCCCCTTTGTTGGGATCCTGCATTTAAAGTGCTCCCGGCCATCCGGTTCCTTAGCTTTTTAGGTTTTTGTTGGTTTAGTTGTGGTTTCATTCAAGCCACTAAAACATATTCACTTATTGCAGGGGATCCGACACAGGTGTCCTTTTTGGTTGTTTCGGGGAGAAAAAATAGATGGCAATCCCGGGTTTACCTCGTAGTTTCATCATCTACCAGGGTCTATTTCCCTTAAAAGGACACCTATGAACACCCCTCTTACCTTTTGCTTTGTTGGGCCAACAACAAGTTAGGGGATCTGAGGGCGGCCCAGTTTCGTGCCGCCTTTCTCCGCAGGCCGAGGCGCCGCAGGCGCCCGCGCCTCTGCCTCCGCCGCCTGATGAGCCGTCGGAGCCTGCGGTGCCGCCGGGGGGTTTGTCCGCAGAACCGCGGCAGCGGCCGTGGCCGCTGCGCACGGTGCGGAAGGCGAGGTTGGGAGGGGGGATTTTTGGAGCTCCTTTTGGACCCAAAGAACAAAACCAACAGGAAAAACACCTTTGACTCCTTTTGTTGGGGGTGTTGTTTGGGTGCTCTTGCTGTGGCTGGTGTCTGGCAAGTTTTGGATGGGCTTCAACGCCTCCATGACAAAGTCTTTGCCGACGAGAGCGCTCCGAGGCGCCCATGCGCCAGACATGAACTAGGTCCCCCAGTCGTGCCCGACCTCTCATTTTTGGGGGAGGGAACCCCCCCTACTAAAATAGACTACAGAAAAAAGTTGGTACCCTTATTCTAGCTTGGTACCCTTATTCCAACCTCCCTACTTGAGGACCTATACTGTGGGGGGGGGCACCACTTTGAATCCATGAGAAACCATGGTTTGTTGGCATTTACCAGGGAATCATCATCCCAGGCTTTCATAGGTGATGCAGGATTTTGTCCATCCACAGCGTGGAGGAATCTGCGTGTATTTTGGCAGCCAAAGCAAAACAAACACCACCTTTGTTTTCTGAAAGGTCCGTAGATTGGGGGTGTTTGTTGAGGCCCTTGGTGTGATTGGTGTTTGTTGTAAAAGGAATGCAGGTCAGTGGAGTGGGGGGGCGGGGGTTGGTTTCGGTTTCGGCTGCTTTCCCAACGCTGATGTTTGGCTGAAATGAGGGAGCACAGCATTTGGGTCCGTCGTGTGGTTGCCAGTTGCTTCAGAGTCAGTTTGATGTCCCCCTCTTTGTTTTAAAGGGTATCACTCTGGAGGGAAGTAAGAGACAGAGAAAGAGAGAGCGAGAGAGAGAGAGAGAGACAAAGAGAAGGACAAGAGAAAAGATAGAAATCAAAAAAAAAGGGACGGAGAACGGTGAGGAGAGAGAGAGAGAGACAGAGAGAGGAAGAGAAAGATAAGCAGAAGGAGAACGAGGAAGAGAAAGAAACTAAACACATTAAGATACAGTCAAGGGAAGGAGAAACATAAGGATAAAGATAAGGAGAAAGAAAAACAGAAACAGAAACATAGCGAGGGATAGAGAGAAAAAATGAAGACAGAGAGAGATAGACAGAGACAGCCAGAGACAGACAGAGAGAGAGAGAGAGAGACACCGACAGCCAAAGAGAGAGAGAGAGAGAGAGAGAGCGAGAGAAAGCGAGAAAGAGAGAGAGAGAGAGAGAGAGAGCGCATCTTGAGCCATAAGGCGCGACGAAGACTGGGCCTCCCAAGCGAGAGCAGTGATGCTGCTAGGTTTGGAAGTTCACCATCCCTGTAGCCCACAGCGTTGGTGTTCCATCTGTCCCCATCATACCCTGGGGAGAGCTTGATTCTCGGAATTGGTCCCACAGCTTTCGGCTCTATCCTGTTCAGAACACACATTCAGTTTTTGAGTTTGACGCTGCGGCCTTACGCGCAGTCAAACGCAAACGCATTGATTGCACCGCGCCCAGGCCATGGACGAAACTCCTCGTGCCCGAGCATTGGTTCTGCAGGCGTGGAAGAGCCGCTGCAAGCAGGAAGCGAGAGCAGAGGTGTAGAGCAGACGCGCGCGGGCTGCGGCGATGTGGCTCTTGGAATGGAGGCCAGCCAGGCCCTTCCCAGAGCCGAACAAGGGACGTTGAGACCTGGGGCAACGGTTGCTTTGTTTGAATCTGCGGCTGTCCTCCTGCAAGAGCAAGTGCGCCACGTCCAGCGCATTCGGGGCTGTCGCGTGCTGGGGCGCTGCGCTCTCCGGCGGCGACAGCAGTGATGCTGCTAGGTTTGGAAGTTCACGCAAGCAGGAAGCGAGCGCAGAGGTGTAGAGCGGGCGTGCGCGGGCTGTGGCCCTTGTGGGCACGCAGCCAGATGTCCCACGAGCAGGTGGAAGACCCGATGTCGGTGATGGGGTAGGTGTCAGAGTTCCAGAGCAAAGAGTGCACTTTGCGGCGAGGGGCTTCGGCTAGTAGTGCTGGGAAGATGGAACGGCAGTGCCCGACCGCGATGTTGAAGTAGAAGTTGACGTAGTAGTCCGCGTGTGGTGGGCGAGTAGGTCTCAGGTCGGGTGAGCCCGCCAGGTCTCTGGAACACCCCAGGCAAGAAAGCAAGCGCCAAACCCATCCTGAACCCAACCTACACCCCACCACTCTAAACCCAGCCTAACCAACCTTAATTAGTTCTAAGCCCGCCGTAAACCCACCAAGTCTACCCCCCTACACCACTTACAAGGTACCGCGTGCAGCTTGAGTTTGTTTTGCCCTACGAACTCGATGCCAACATCCCCCCACCCTTTTGCAAGGATTGCAGCCCCGTCAAGTCCAAATGATTGCAGACCCTCATGGATTTCCAAGCTGATTTGCCAGGCACCCTCCCACAGGTGCCATGTTAATGGGAAGAAGGGTTCTTTTGCCGGTGTTTGAACCATCCCGTTGGACAAAAACATACTGTTGATTTGCTCGCCTAGGCGGATTTCTCCACAATTCAATCCGGGGTCCCGCAAGGCAGAGAACGAGAAAGAGGAAGAAAAGATAAGAGAATGAGGAAGAGACAAACACAGAGAAAGAGAACGAAGAAGAGAAGGAGAGAAGAGAGACAGAGAGGTCTCAGGGAAGTAAGAGACAGAGAAAGAGAGAGAGAGAGAGAGAGAGAGAGAGAGAGAGAGAGAGAGAGAGAGAAAGAGAAAGAGAAAGATAAGCAGAAGGAGAACGAGGAAGAGAAGAAAAGAACAACATTAAGATACAGTCAAGGGAAGGAGAAAGATAAGGAGAAAGAAAAACAGAAAAAGAAACATAGCGAGGGATAGAGAGAAAAAAATGAAGACAGAGAGAGACAGACAGAGACAGCCAGAGACAGACAGAGAGAGAGAGAGAGACACCGACAGCCAAAGAAAGAGAGAGAGAGAGAGAGAGAGAGACACCGACAGCCAAAGAGAGAGAGAGAGAGAGAGAGAGAGAGAGAGAGAGCGCATCTAGAGTCTCGGACGCGACGAAGACTGGGCCTCCAAAGCGAGTGCCGAGTCGTGTTCATAGCTCGGGGCACAGCAGTGCTGAGCGAGGAGCGCTGGGTGGGTCTCGGAGGCCCGCGCCCTCTTGAACTAGTAGTCGGGCATCTTGGGCTACAAGGCGCGACGAAGACTAGGCCTCCAAAGCGTGGTCATAGCTGGGGGCACGGAGCGCTGGGTAGCTCTCGGCGAGCCGTTGGAAGTCACATACGTCGCGCTGCCATGACGGAGGGAAAAACAGGGCTTGTCGACGCGCGCCGATCTTGAGAGCTCGCAGCCGCGTTGGGTTCTGCCGGGTGTTCGCGCAGCCCCCTTCCTTTTTTGTTGGCACACAGGCAAACAGACAGGCAGACAGACAGACAGATAGACATACACACATGCACACACACACATACATCACATTACCTCACATGACGTTACATTACATTACCTTACATCACCTTACATTACCTCACATCACATCGCATCACATCACATACGGACATACGTACATACACCTGGAGCACCCTTCGTTACATAAATTTCTGCTCTTAGCCCAAACGTGTTGCAAAACCAGGGGTCGTCACCAAAATATGGTAAACGCACACTTTTTCGTGCTTCGAGCGTTTTTCCAAAAACCGGGCTGGCTCCAAGATGATCGGTCGCTGAAGACTCGAAAGGAGCGAGCTTAAATCAAAATGCAAAACGAGCGCGAATATCCGCAAAACGAGCGCAAATATCCTCAAGCGAGTGCAAATTAAAAAAAATGTAACAATCCCGCCTTCCTCTGGATGGAAGAAGGGGATTTGGTCGAGCGTTTTTCGGGGGGCGAGCGTTTTTTGGGGGGGTCGAGCAGAAATCGGTAATTCGAGCGTGTTTTTCTCGCACCTAAAAAAAGGCACGTTGGGTGCCTCAGGCGTACACACGTGCACACACACACACACACACACGCACATACATGTATACATACATACTTCAGACACACACACATGACATACACACACACACACAGACACACGTACATACATTCTCATAAACGCGCACACGGGTCCCCCCTCCGCCCACCCAGAAGCCCACCCCAACCCAAACTCCACCCCTCCCTCCCCCTTCTTACGCCAAGGGTGTATGTTAAACAGTTCTTTGAGCACGCGTCAGCCGCACCTTCCCGAGGCCGTGGCGCCCCTGCGCCCGGCCGAGCCCGAAGAAGGATCCACGGCATCGAGGGCAGTGGTGGTGCGGCTCATGCCGGGCGCGGTGGAGGTGGCCAGCGGCCGGCGAGTGGAGAAGATCCAGGCGCCGAGGGATCCGAACTATGGGAAAGAACTACTGTATGGACGGCGTCCTGCACCTAAGAACCTCCCTGGCTTCTGATTCGATTCCCGTGGTAAATGCCGGCGAATCATGGTTTCAACCCCGGCTTCAGTTCGTGGTGGATTTCGTCCATTCACTGGACTTCCCTTGCTGGTTTTAAAGGGAGTGTATCACTACTGGAAATACTTTTTCCAGGGGCTTAAGCAAATGGAAGTTAAGGAGGTCCCCCAGCAGTGCCCCTTTACCCCTGGTCTTGGGGGGGGGTCCCTACTAACTAAGATAGACTACAGAAAAAAATGGTACCCTTTTTCTAACCTCTCTACTCGAAAAGCTAGTTAAGGAGGTGACCACGGTTACCCTCCGCTTGTGTGTTGTGTGAATTGGACAGGGGTTCTTCACCCAGCGCCCCCCAACACGTTATAACACGTTATGGCTATCGGCCTGGATCTTTAGACTGACTTTTTGTTGGACATGTTGTGGGTTTTTTCTGTATGAAACCCAAAAGTGACTCACTCTTTTCAGCAACCAAGTTACGTCGAGGATCACTGAAGTAACTGGTTATAACCTTCCAAGCCTTTTCACACCCAAGCAGGAGGGAAGGAGGGTTAGATGTGTCTTTAGAACAAATGCGGCGTTTGAACAAGAGTTCTCGAAAATACTTTGGGTGACTCATACTTTGGGTGACTCAAGGATCCTCAAACCGAATCTACATCCCTGTCAAATGAAAAGACAAACATCAACCCTCAAAATGACCCGGTGATCCGAGGCCCCTTAAACTGGGACACCCCAGTCCAAATCAGCCAAGAGTTGACTCCCCTTTCTTGAAAGTGACATGATTTGTCTATTTGGATATACTATTTTTCTTGCTGTGAGGCAAGTGTTTACTAATTGTTTGCTGGGTTTGAATCAAGCCGACCAAACAATATGTCCAGACCAATTGGCCGTTGAACCACCCCAAGAGGGGGACATGGGTGTCTTTTGTTGGACCCCAGAAATGTGGTGTTCCTTTGGGTTTCCCTTTAAACCAACAAAACTGGTTTTACCAACTCAAAAACGGGCCACCCAAATGGGCGTTGCTTGAAGTTGGCAACCTTAGGGGGTTCCTTGAAAGGAAAACCCAAACAGAACACGCCCATAGCCTGCCATATTCATTCCCTCTGGAGATCTCCCAAAAAGGAAGCCGCCAACTGTCCCATTTGGGAAAGGGCGCGTTAAAGATGAGTTTTCTTTTGAGAAAGCTTGTAAGGGTTGATTCCCGTTTCAACCATCGCAGATCCCTGGAACGAATGCAGAAGGTACCCTTAAAATGTTTCTGGGATGGGCGTAGGAACCCTGTGGCTTGTATGCAAACATGGAGGGGCCCCTAGGCCAGGGTGACTAAGAACTTGCCTGACGTGCCAAGCAGGAGGAACTTGGTGCGGCTTTGCGCACTCTTGGTTCTGTGACCATGTTTTTGCTAGGCTTCTTTAAACAGGTTCACCTGTGCTGGATTTCTTTATCACTTACAAGGTGTGCCCCTCTTGAGTACCAGGTTTTTCCTACTTGGGTGTTTGGCCAGGTGAGTAAGCTGTTGGTCACGTAGGTGTTAACCTACTTGTTCGCCCTGAGTGGAGTCAACCCTACTAGGTCCCCCAGTAGTGTGTTTTACTCTGTTTTGGTGGAGGGTTCCCCTACTAAACTCGACAGCAAAAAGTTGGAGCCCGTATTCTAACCTCTCTACTGGAGGACCGAGCCTATTTGGTTCCCCAGCCGAAGCATCCAAGCGACGAGAGGTGACGCTGTCGGCGAAGGACCCCGCACGGGCGGTGAGGGGCCTGGTGCTGGAGGCGGGCTTGAGATGGCCCGACGAGGCACGGCAATGCCAGTCGCCTCACCTCACTGCAGCTGTTTGTCCTTTCCATGGGTGTCCTTTTTGGTTGTCTTGGTAGAAGAATAGACGGCGATTCCTGGTTTACCTGGTGGTTTAATCATCTACCAGGGCCATCTGTTTCCCCTAAAAGGACACCTATGGTCCTTTCGGGTTTCCTTCAAATTCTCAAAGAAGGTTGACATGTTGGAGAGTGTTCACTCGTTTGGCCAAGATGTGAGCCGAGGATAAATGAACCCAGGTTGAGTGACGACAGACGAGGGCTGAAAGAGCAGCTCTTGTTTGGGAAGATCCAAAACCCTAACCAGGCTTTCAGGAACCAACACGGAGAGCTGGTTGGGGTTGTCTAACCCGGAAGGGGGGGCGAAGGGTTTGCAATTAGTCAAGGGGTACTTCCGTTTTTCAGGTCCCTGGTCATTTGTTTTTTTTAATGTTATTGATTCAAAGGGAGTTGGTTTCCTTTCGCCCTTTCGCAATCAGAGTACTTGTCGTCACTGAGCAATCTAAAACGAGCTCACTCATGAAGACAGGTGTTGGCGGAGCTTCGGGTCAAATACTAGACGGCTCAAGAGAATCCTTTTGAAATTGTGTTGCGTCGTGGTTTGAGTGCGTTGCGCTGAACCGCCAAAGTGGCCATTGGTTGGATACCGTCCCAAGAAAGAACAATGGAAGTTCACAGACCCTGTTTGAAAAACTGCTTTCCTTTCGGAGCGGCAGTGCGTTTGAACTTCCATTGTTCGTGGTTTGCCCCAAGAATGTGTGGTTTGCTTGTCGCTTCCCTTGAAACCAACTCCTTGTGGGGATAGTCCCCCCAAAACATGGCGTCACGTCCTTCCATGTGGAGGTTGATCAATATTCCTGGGTTCAAATGACCAGGGTAACTTCTCCAAGTTAGTGGCAAACCTCTCCTTTTTTGCCTGCTCATGTTTTACGGACCTTCTGATCACCCCCCATGTGGCAGTGGGTCAACAATAGGGACCCAGAACGGATGGGCAAATAGAACCAAGTGGTGGTTTAGTTTTGACCCGTACCTATGCGTTTCACCCGGCTTTCGGTTTCGCCAGGGCGGCGCTGGCGGCCTGGCGGCCGGGCAGCTGCTACTCCATGGCCAGGCCCTGGACCTCGACGCCCCGCTGCCCACGCTGCCGGACCCGAGTCGAGTCGAGCCCCGAGTCGAGTCGAGTCCATAGGTGTCCTTTTTGTGGTTTTGGTAGAAAAATGGATGGCGATTTCTGGTTTACCTGGTGGTTTTTTCTCATCTACCAGGAAACCCATCTATTAGTCGAGTCTCTCGCCTGTCCGTGGAAAGACGATGACGCGCGGGCGGAGTTCGATGTTGTTTTGGTGGCCGGGTCTCTAAGTTGTCTACTTGTAGATGGTTGTGGCTGGGTCGGTTCCCTGGAGCGGGGCTTGTTGTTTTGATGGTACCCTCTCTTTCTTTGTTTCTTCTTTCTTTCTTTTTTTTGGGGGGGTCTCCCTTCACATTGCAGGGTTGGCAAGATTCATGAAACAGAGTTAGACGAAATGTTATTTTAAACACCTCAGATGAGAGTTGCGCGTCTCACTTCCGCATGTCTTTGTGGTCAAAGAACAGGGAACTACCGCGCAGTTGAGTCACAACCCGAAATCGGACCCAACAACTGGTTAGAGGCAATTTGTTGAAGGGCAGCTATGCAGATTGAAAAAGACATATTTGGAACCCCACGCCCCAGGGACCCCTTTTGACCCAGAAAACAAATGGGTACAAAGGCAGCAGAAAGGCCAGGCGCCTCAAAGCCTTAAGCTCTTTGCTCCCAGGTGCTTGGAGCTTCTTTTCGGTGCGCTCCCGGGAAACCAGCCGGACCACTCGGTTTGTCCCAAAACCCACCCCAAAATGGCACCGACGAACAGAGATAGTTTGATGGTGTGCTCTTACAGGGTGATGTACGAAGGGGCCTCGGGGATTCCAGCATGGGATTTTTCCAGCCGGCTCGGTCGAAACACCTTGCATGGGATTCCAGCCAAGCCAGGTTCTTGTGCTCGACTTTTCGCAGCTTCTTGGGCCACATGGGCTTTTTCTGTCTGCAAAAGATGGGAACTTCCCCAGGCGGCTTGGAGTTCTCGGGTTCCTGTGTTGTTTTTCCTTCTAAGCTCGGCTGGTGGGAAGGGAGCTTTCCGGACTCGAAGCCTCGAAGCCGGCACCTCGAAGCCGGGATCCAAACATGTTTTTAAAGCATGGGTGTCCTTTTTGGTTGGTTTGCTTGAACACAATGAAAATGCCCTAGAAAAAGGCCGGGTGTTTGGAGTAGGTAGACCTCAGGAGGGCGCCGAGCTGCGGCTGGTGCGCCAACCCAACGGGCGGTTGAGGTGTCAGGCGCCGCGGGCCGATTCAGCCGACGCGCGACGCGCTGCACGAGTCCAGATTTGACGCCGGTCGACGCCGTTTTGGGATCCCACTTTGGTAGGTGAACTCAAACTTACGACCTGTTTTTAGTGGTTGGATTGGTGGATGTTTGGGGCTACGATCTGGGTTTGGATCCTGGGATCAAAACCCTTCGGAGGTGACTCCTTCACGATCCCAAGATCATTCCCTCCCAAGAAAGAAATCGCCCGCTTTGGGTGTAGCCATGCCCGGCAGCCGGCTACCATGGTCAGGGCCAGATACCTCTAGCCCAGTTTAGTGATATGCATGGACAAGTTGCCGACCAGGTAGCTTGAACACCCAGCTGAAATGCCACCCAAGGCCCAGAGAAACATGGTTGTTGGGAAACATGTCTGACATTTTTGATCTTATTGTGGTTTAGTGGTTGAACTCCAAATCCACTGAACTGCTAAACTTCAATTTTTTGCTCCCCAAACCCAACGTCAACCAAGGAAAGTCCCCAGTGTGTTGATGCTGTAAGCATCACTTGCAATTAGGGGGAAGTGTCCTGAGGAACTCGGGGTCATCCCAGGCCTAAAAGATCCCAAAATCGATTCGATCCCTAGGGCTTGGATGTCGCATTGACTCGCAATACTCGTGGCCTATGAGCGCAGTGTCTGGGGATGATCTGTTTAAAACCAGCATGCGGTTCAGCGTGTTTAGCGTGTGGTGCTGCTTGGTTGCTTTTATTTGTCATGTTTCTTTGCGTGTTACAACGGGGTTTAGGTTGCATTGTGTGAGTGGCTCAGGGAATTCCATTTAAGTGCTTAAGTAGTCATGACTCATGTCCGAATGGCAATCATCAACTTTCACAGGGCTCCTTAAAATAACTTCATTTTTTGCCGCATGTTGCGCTGTTGGAGCACCAAGCCAAAGCGGGAAACCCGCCATTGACAAGTTGCAATGTTCGATCGGCGTATCAGGGGCCGAGCTTCTCGCTTTCCCTGGCTCTCGTCGGAGGCTCCGAACCTCTGCTCTCTAGGCATGTTTTTGTGGTTGCTGCTCATTTTTTTCAGCAGGGGGCTGCAAAAAAAAGCAAAGTGGTTTTGAAGCCATACCAAGGGTCGGGAAGATTGGTTTGGTTTTGTTGAGTTTCCCTCCACTACTTGTCTACCAACTCGTGGCGAGGTCTTTGGAGCCCACCCAGCGTACAGCGTCGCATCCAGGCTCTTTCCCTTCAACCCAAAAAGGAGCCTTTGGGGATCTTCAAAGCAAACATGTGGAGTTGTCCACCAGTTTTCCACTTAAGGTTTGGTCTGGTCCACGGCCAGGCCAACCCTCAGTCCTCAGTTGGGTCCCATTCCACAGACCCCCATTTTGGTTTCGTCCTCCCCTTTGCTCCCACTTGAACTTCACAACCTGGGTATGGCTTGGCAAAAATCTGACTGTGTTTTGCAGCCCCCAAACCTCAAAATGAACAGAACCCCCGCAAAAAAAGCAAAAACACAAAACTTGAACCAAGAGCGGTGGAGCAACTCACCCAGGAAAACGACCGGGTGCCGTTTTGTGCTGGTTTCGTGGTTGGATGTCCGTTGAACCCGATCGAAAAAGTGGCACAAACTCCGCACTGCCACTCATTGGTGGGGTCTCAAAAGAAAGTGGACCCTTTGTTGTGTGATAACCACCTGGGAATACGAGGAAGCAACCCATGTTGGGCTTGTGGGTTCTATTTATCAGATTTTGAAAACGAAGAATTGATGATTCAACTAGGGGTGCAATTAAATCTCTGTAGAAAATCTAAAACGTAGCGGGGGGGTTGGGGGGGGCGGCACCGGCAGCCGCCCCATGATGTCGGCAGAAGTGATGATTCAAGGGGTGCAATGATTCCACTAGAAACAACTGGGTGTTTCAGGTTGACTTTAAGCCTTGGGGCCAGGGCTTCCATGCGGCGAGCGGGCCGCGGGGCTTGCTGATGAGCGGGGACCGATGGGAGCCAAGGAGCAGCAGGCGGGGGGGGGGGGGGAGGTTTGGTTTTTGTGAGGCAACTCAGAAATGGGGTTGTTTGAGCAACTATTTTGTCTTTCTCTTCTTCTTTTTGTTGTCAAAACATGTTACGGCCCTTGCTGGTGCTCAGCAAGGAATGGCCCACTGGGCTTTGGGACATGCGCCAATTGTGGGGATTCCCTGAAGGGAAACAACACTTTCTTTGGGCAACCGAGAAATGGGTAGTTCCCCTTGATCAAACCACTTGACCTCTTTTCACTGTGGTTCTGTTTCTTGCGGGTGCTCAGTACGGGATGACCTTCCAGGTTTGGGGAATGGACCGGAAGGGAGAATCCACAGGGGATGGTTGACAATGTTGACAGGGCTCATTCCATTGATCATTGCCTACTGAGCAGTTTTTGTTTCCCTTGATCACTGGTTCTGTGGGTTGACACGGTGATTCACACACACAAAGGGGTCATATAGGATTATCTAGGGAACCAGGGGATAGCAAGATGTGTTTTAACCAATGCCAGCATTCCGAAAACGACCTGGCCCGGGCCCGTTCAAATTTCATGCGAGCCCTCTGCCCAGCGAAAGCGCATGCATCGTTTCTTGGTGTATAGGTTTACAGGGAAGCCAAAAGGGAAACGTCCGGCCAGGTTGGGTTCGTTTTTGGGCACCCAAGCAAAGGCCGCGATCAAAAGCCTTAGTCAGTCAACTCGTGTACTCTTGGTCCACTGTCGAACCATGTGTTTTGTTGAGGCCCCTTTTTAGCTTGGCTTGAAGCGGAACCCAAAGGAAGACAAGCATTTGGGTCCGTAGTTTGACACATGTCTAAAATCACTGGGTTTAAGCAGCCACCTGCTGGTTTCAGGAAAGCCGCGGTGGATTTCTTCGATGCGGTGGGGGACAAAGACATCGACCACATGTCCAAGATTCTCCTGGCGAAGCCGCTGGCCCCATTTTTGCGCGGGCGAAACAAACAGCACGTGTCGGTGTTCAGAGCTGTTTGGACTTTTCCTGCCACGGGTGGGGAAGCTTGGCTAACGTCCTGCTTCGTTTTCGAATGGGCGCCAAAGCACAGTTGTTGTTTTTTCTCCCAAAATTAAGCCAGTTCTATGTGAATGCGAGCGCTCGGTGGAACCCTGAAGCTACTGCAGAACTTCACTAAACCTTTCACTTTGCTTGTTTGGTCTCTCCTGTATTATCTCTTGTTATCAGCAAATCGCAAGCTTTTTTGGCGGATCAGTCTGGCCAAGATACCATCCAGGCTGTGTTTCTCAGGAGCTCGGAGATGTCCCAAAAAGACCCGGAAGAAGGAGAAAGCGCAGGCGTTTTTGGGTGTCAGCTTGAACTCTGCACATTTGGGTGTGCCTTTTTTGAGTGAACCCCCTCAAAAAAAGGTATGTCCCTTTGGTTTCCCTTTTACACAACCCTGAAAAGATACCCTCAAGAAAAGGCGCTCAAAACTCCTCGCGCCAGAGACTCGGGGGCTTTGCAACTCAACCAGAGACTTGGGCCGTCTAGGTGGGGGGTTCTGAGGTTGTGGGGCAGGAGGGTAACTTTTGCAACCCAGACCTTTGGAATTTACCAGCAGCAGGGTTGTGGGATCAAGGGTTTCTCCCCACTTTCCTGATACAAGGGTAATTGTTCAGACTATTGGGATTTACTAGCAAGCCTGAATCATTTTTTGGTCGGGGCTCAACCTAACCCGCAAAGCGTGGTGACTTGGCGTTTTTGTTCACTTCCCGCTGGATAATGTAGACAACCATTAAATATTGTACGTTAAGGTTGGCTGGTTCTTCAGGGGAAAAAACACAGTTACAAAACGCAAGGTTCTCCCGACAGATTCTTCAAGGGCGGAATCAACAAGTCCCAACCTGTTCTGCGGGTGTCCTTGGGGAACTATGACCATGGTTAGTTGGGGAGCAGTTTTATAAGCTACTGTGGATGGACGAAATCACCACTTTGAAACCATTGGGAACCATTGTTCGCTGGTATTTGCAGGGGAGTTATCAGAAACCTGGGTTTCTTCGGTCCAGCCAAAGCAGGCTTCTGGGATCACTCGGACTTTTACCCTTCTGTGATACCTTCGGGCATCTCCCCCGTGGGGTTGTTTCGGACATGGAGACCTGATAGCACAAGAAGAGGCGACATGTTTGTTTGTCTTGTTGCGTTTATCATAATGACGGTTTTGTCATTGGTTTGCCTTATGATGTTTGTATCAGAATGATGGTTTTGTCATTGGTTGGACAGATGATGTTTGTATCATATTGTTGTATCACAGATGTGTGGATTCCATTTCCCACGGCCTCAGCCAAAGCAGCTCGCCCTGTGCAAACCGAAGCTCCGAAGCTTCCGTCTGAGACGTCCTGAGGCGTGGGCAGATGAAGCCCGGCTACAAGACGTGAGCGGGTCCGCCGGGATTGGCTCGGGTGCCCCGTTTGGGGGAACATTTTTTTTTTGAACGAATGTTGGGACCTCACAAATTGACATTAGGTTACATGCCATTTTTTTATGAAGCTTGTTTTTACATGTTATTAGTTGTGAAACTTCTTGTGATAAGAGTCGGCTCAGAGCCAACGCGAGCCGTGAGGCCATAAGGACTGCTGTACGGCTGGTGAGTCGTCGCCACCTGCAGTGGCGAAACGGGTGGCACGCCCGTTTTTTCCGGTTTCACCATGAGCAACGGTCGATATTCACATCCCCTTGAGTTCTTGGACTTGAACATCTTTCGGGGTTGGTCCATTCTAGTGGCAAACACATGTTTGGCCTTTTTTGGGCTTGTATCAGGAAGGAAGTTCATGAGTATGTGGAATATGAGGGGCTGAATAAATACGATCACAACCCCGTTTTAACGTATTTAGGCCCTGAAGAAGTACTGCGTAATGACGCCCGTGCAAATTACGGGAGGAACCTGAAAAGACCCGTCCTTTCCCCAGAGGATGATTTCTCTGAGACGCTTTCAGAATGGATGGCTATGCGGGTTTGGTAGCATGTTAATGTGCACAGGAGGCAAGGCGCCATGTATTTTCATGAATTGGCCATCTAAAAAGCGTCCGTCAAAAAGTCCCCACCAAAAAACATGCCAATGGTTGTTGGAGAGTAGTAATCTTTCAATGCGCTCGGAAAGCCCCAAAAGCGGTAACTTCACAGGATTTCGCCCATATTTTCAGACTTCGGGAGCATGCTGGAACAACATGCCACCCCAGGACCTCCCGTGAGTATTGACCATGGCTCGCATCCAGTGAAGCGAGCGACCAGGATGAACATCGCCTTGGTTGCCTCAAAAAGGGCTGAGAGTCAGCTGCTGGGTTTGCAGGGGACGGCCATGCAGCCATAAGGGCACCAACCCGAGTTCCCCCAGTTGTTGCAATGTTATGACCTACCAAGAGGGTTGAACATCCAACAAGGGCCCAAGGGATTCCCTTTCCAAGAAGAAGATTGCTGCAAGCCTTTAAATGCGTCAATGACAATATTGGTAGTCTATTGTTGGTTTTGGGAGACATAGGGCACAACTCCAATTCCCAGCAAAAACAGCGGCGAGGGCCCCAATTGTCCATGTGACAGGTCGTGCATTGCTTGCGTAATGACCAAAAACACACGGCCGAACTTGACTCAACTTTTCCCTTTACTTCAGGGTGGAAGTAGAGGGCACAATGTCCTTTATGCGGGTAGTTTCCCTTGAGAACATGGAGCCAACATAAATGTTCACATTTGAACATGAGATCCTAGTGTGTGCACTTCAGAACTTCAGAGCTGGTTCCTTGTTGCAATTCATTGCCATATCTACACCTACTGTGGGTGGACGAAATCCTGCACCACCTATGAAACCCTAGAATGATGATTCCTCTGTAAATACCAACAAATGATGGTTTCCGTTGGTTTCAACGTGGTGCAGAATTTCGCAACCATCCACAGTAGGTTTGGGCTTTCTCGGCTTCAGGAGCCGTCGGAGAAGCACGGCAGCCAGGCGGGCTCATGATTCCATGTAGGACCCCGCAAAAAATGGCAGTGTCGTTGCTTCGGTTCCACCGCCGCCATCCATGCCCACAGCGCACAATTTTCTGCGTGTGGATTTTTCTTTCGCACGATCCTTGTCATTATGCTCCTCACGCAGTGCGGGCACATTTGCCGCTCGGGGCCCAGGACCGTTGGGGAAGATTCGTCATGTTTTGCGCCTTGTTGGGCTTTGATTGATCAGGTTGGGTCTCCATTTTCCCCGCAAGTTTCACTTTTAGCAGGGGATCAACAAACAGACAGCCTAGAACCGGAAAGTTGAGAGGGATGCCTCCAGAATCCACAGAATCCCCCAAAGAAGCAGACTCGGCTTCCTGAACTTCTCCTTTCAACCCTTTGGGGCATTTTGCTTGGATGACCTAGTTGACACATTTTCAGGTTCGAGTGAAAATGGGCCGAGGAGCCACACCTCCGCCACCGCGCTGCGGGGCGCCCCCGCGACGAAGGCCGCGTCAGCGTCGTCGGGCACGTCGGGCACGGCGGCCACGGGGGCCACGTTGGGCGCCCTGGCGGGCGCTGCGGCGTGCCGGCGCGCCAGGCGTGTGACTAGGCACCAGCAGGCGGGGAGCTGCACAGTTGTTGAGCTATCCAGTGGAGAGGTTAGAATAATGGTCGTCTTTGGGGTTGCAAAACACACAGTTTTTGTTGCTACCATAACCAAGGGTTGTAAAGTACATTGATGACTAAGTTGAAGCAAAGTTTTTTTCCCAGCAGAAATGGCAAGGGAACGTAGCCCTTTGCTTTTAGGGCAGATCAGAACTCTGAGCCTTTTAAACTCGACCAAAGAAGGGTAGACATTTGCTATGGTTTTGTTTGGCCTTCCTTTTTTTACCTTTGTGCCGCCCCTTCCCCTGGAGGTGTGGAGCCACTCTAGAATGGAACTAACAGAAGGTTGCCAAGAAACATACGTGACTTGTTGGTATACGGTTTTGTTGAGGTTACCCCCAAAATGGATTTCGGTTTCCCTCTTGGTTTTCCGACCCACCAAGAAAAGGGACCAAAAAACCAAAGACGAGCCACCCATGCTTAAACAAATATAAACAGCAGCTACCCAGGCGCGGCCATTGACCCTTGGAATGTCTTTGAAAGGGACACCAAGGGGCTAGCAACTCATTGAGTTGCTTTTTGGAGGCAACAGGGCAGACATTTGAAAAGGCGGCCACAATAAATTCCATACCGAACTTGTCCTGAAGTGCGGGAACTTGGTTGCACCTCATGGTTGTTGTTGGGAACCATTCTTCCCATTTTTGATCTTACGGTGGTTGAGTGGTTGACATCCAAATCCACTTCATCGCCATTTTTCGCCTTTTTTGGCTCCCCAAACCCAACGTCAACTGAGACATTGGCTGCTTCCGGATCCCGCGCCGTCAGGCACCGCCATCTCGTTTGATAAGCGAGAGGTCAAGCGCTGACCAAGAAGAGATGTACCCATAGGTGTCCTTTTTGGTTTGTTTGGGTGGAAAAAAAATAGATGGCCTGGCTTGGGCGATTCCTGGTTTGCCTGGTGGCTTTTTGTCATCTACCGGGGAAACCCATCTATTTGCCCTAAAAGGACAACTATGGATGTACCCTCACTTCCAGAAAGAGATGGGCCCCTAGGCAAGAGGAAATGTATAAAATCTTCCAGGTATTCTTTTAAAGGTGCCTTCTGTCAATGGAGTGTATTTGCCCAGACAAACGTGGGGTTTACTCTGGAAAGCCATATTTACCATGGAAAGCACATGGAAGACGTTTTACCTGTGTGGCAAAACCTGGTTGTTCCAAGTATGAACTGAAGCAGTGGATACCAGCTTCGGGCCGCAACGGCCTCCGTTTTACGGGGACCTTCCGGTCGGTTTTTGTTAAAGGGACGCCACAAGGAAGACCCGCAATTTTTTAGGGGTCCCCGTTGGGTCAAGGGTCTCTTTAAGCACATAGCACGTTGAAACACCAACCTGTTGACACAGAGCCTCCTTTCGGTTGCCCTGAGAGGACCAGGGTCAGGTTGCTCAAGCAAATCTAGAAGATCGGCAAAGCGATAAGAAGGCGAAACATTGTCAACCAAGGCCATATTTACTAGGTCTTCCAGTAGTGCCCTGTTACCCTTTTTTGGGGGAGGGCTCCCCTACTAAAATAGACTACAGAAAAAAAGGGTACCCGTATTCTAACCTCTCTACCGAAGGACCATATCTAAGGCAACACACTTCTTTTTGTACATTGGAATCAGGTTTCCGACGGTCAGCTTGACTCCTTTTCAGTCGATCTGTTTTTCCCCAACAGCTGAAAGCTTTGGGGTCTCAGCCCAGATAGGCTCCGGGGTGGTTCGGGGCGGCCCTGAGGTAAGGTTCCACGAGGGTTCCACCAGGGTTCCACGAGGTTCTACGCGGGCTGCGGGGTGCGAGCACTAAAAAGAGCACCGCATGCTGTTGGGGATATCACCTGAGCTTTATTTTGTTCCCCCGGCGCAGCTTTCGACGTGTGAGGCGCCCAAAGGTTCCACCGCCACCGCAGAGCGTTTGACGGGGGACCTGTCCGGGGCGCTTCCTGACTGCCCCGGCACCATTTGGGATGCCGAGTCCATCGACGTGAAGCGCCTTGGATCCAGGAATGTTGAGCCCATGTGCAATTAATCAACCCATAGAAGAAACCAGCAGGGAGTGGTTGACCCCCAGAGTTCAACAAGTTTATTACTAGTTCATTGAGTTTCTTAGGGGGTGGGGAACGGTTTGACCAAGAGTGGGTTTTGAGTTTCTGCACTTTTCACCCAGTTGGCAATCCCCCTAGTTGATTTCAATAGCGTCAACATCAGCCGTTGGGACGGTCGGAAAGCGGGCTGGGAGCTTCGCCTTTAGCTACCAGGAGGTCTGCTTAGGGACATGGCTTTCAACCTCCACGGAGCAAATCCGTTCCTAGCTGGCCCCATGACTTTACCAATATCAAAGTCACCCCCTAAGTGGTGGGTTAAAGGGAAACCACCCGTTTCTGACTTTGACAACCCCTAGAAACAGCCAAAATAAGAACCCCGGTCTAAGGAACCTGCCGGCGGTGAAGCAGACCGCCCCGCTGATTATCGACGCGAAGGAGCGCTCGAGAGCTCAAGAGCTCAAGAGCGAGCTTCGGCCTTCGGGCCGGCGCGGGGGCATCCATTTCGATGTTGGAGTGGTCATACTGTGGACGTACGAAATAAATCCTCTTAGGCACCACCCAAGCAACCATGGTTGACACCATTGTTTGTTGGATCAACATTCCAGGGCTTCTTAGGTGGCGCAAACGGATTTCGTCCATCCACAGTAGTCATTTCACAAGAATCAGATGGTGCGATGGGGAGCCGAAGACTTGTAAAGCTGAGGGCTTCACTGTTTGTTCCCGCTTTTGGGGTGTGTGTATTTTGGAGACCCACAAGTAAGGGGTGTGGACCTCCTGTGTTGTTTTCCGTCGCATCTGCAGTTTTGTTTTTCCAGCTTCGTACATCCCCCGCCTTCTGGAGGGCTCCCTGTAGTCCCCATGTCGTCCACCTACTAGTCTAGGTCTCCCAGCTTGGTGCCCTTTCACCGATTCCTTGTTGCGGGGAGGGTTTTTCTACTCAAATAGAGACTATTCTAACCTCTCTACTGGAGGACTTAGACTACTTAATCCGCTTACGCGATCTGAAGCAATTGTAGTATACGACAACAAGTCTACTTGGTTAGCAATAAGCACAGCCCGCGCTGATGAATAAGAAGCTGAAGAAGTCATTGAAACACAAACAATTTCCTGCACTACTCAGTAAGAAGTATTTATTGATAGCGATGCTATATCATACCGCAGTATCAGGCCCAAGGTTGTAACCCCAAAGTGAACAAAATCAATTAGTACGATTTTCTTACAGTTCTGTGTCAACGTGTGGTGTATCAATTCCCTACAATCAGACCTTGTGTTTCTCTGCTGTTTCTTCACGCGCTAGAGCCATTATATTTCCGTTATGTGCCCCCTTTTTCGTCCCTTGATCTGCCGGGAAGCCAGGTGGTTCTGCAAGCCGGTTGGTCGTTTGTTTGGCTCCATGCGTGTTACAACCAGGCCCCCTTGGAATACGGCGATGCGCAAGCCGGGCTCACTTTACAAGCGCTCAGAACCCTATTGCCCCCTACCCCCCTACTACCTCCCTGCTACGGAAGGATCTGCAGACTTCGTCCTACTTTTCACCCAGCCTGTCGGTGCCCCAAAGTTTGCCCTCGTATTTTTGGTTTGCAGTTCAAGGTGTCTTTTGGTAGGGGTGATGCTTTAAGGACCACATCCTTAGTCAAAGTGGAGTTGACGTGCGCGTTTTGCACCGGGTTTTGCACACCGTGTTCCCGGCTTCCCTTTCGCGCGGTGCACAACCATCGGCGTCTGGTCGCCAACCTTATGAGCGGGCTACGGCTTTCGGACATGCCTATGATGTCACCAAGCCCCAAACTCACACCAGTTGAGTGTGCGTGCTCCGCGGTGCACAAGAAACCTCGTATTCTCGGATGATAAAATGGGCACAAGGGCACAAATCACTCCAGGCTTGAGTCGGCAATCGCAAGTTTGTTGCTGGTTGGTTTCACAGTCAAGGCCCCAGGAGTTTGGACCGACTTGTTCCCGGTCGACTCAGAGCCACATTGGGGAAAACACGGGGGTCGTCACGGGAAACGTGGGGCAAGAGGAAACAGCCCGGCTGTTCTCCACAGCCAGAAGGGGCCTGCGGCACAGTACTCAGCAGCTTGGGGTTCACTCAATTTCCCACAAAGGGCGAAAGCTTGGTTTGTCACCATGACCTTCCGGTGGAGGGTTCGTTCCGTTTCCTGTATAGGTTACTAATCCCTTGAAAAACCAATTGGAAAAGGCGAAGGGCAACCGAAAAAAGAAAAAGACAAAAAAGAAACAACTTGGCTTGTTGTGACTGCGGCCAGCGTGGCACATGGCGCCGAACACAGGCGGCTTGGCTCCTGAAAACGCCCCAAACGACTACCCTCCCTCCCACTAACATGGCATCTGTAGGAGAGTACTGTTTCCTGTTGGCATAGTTGTTGTTGGGAAGCATTTTAGGTTTTTGCTTATTGTGGTTTAGTGGTTGAAATCCAACTCCACTTCACTGCTACAGTTTTTTATTTTTTTGCTCCCCAAACCCAACGTCAACCCCTGTCGGTTGGACCCCGCGCCCGCGGTGGGACCCCGCGCTGCCTGCGTCGCTGGAGGAGCTCAAGGACCTACAGGGCTCGGAGCAGGAGTGGTTCGCCGCGCAGCGGGAGAAGATCATGAAGCAGCTGCAGGCAAGGGATTTTTTTTCTTACCGGTCTTTTGACCCCGTTTGGCTCAAAAAAGAGGGAACCGAAGGTGGCCCCAGACATTTGGCTCCTTTGTTTTCTGGTTTTGGGTGGTTTAGTGGTTGGGTGTCCCAATTCAACTGCAAAAGGTGAAACTGTTAGCAGGGGATCTGAGGACAGCCCAGGGAACGAACAACCGCATTTGGGTCCCCCAATTCTAAGACACAACCTAGTGAGAGCTTCTTTGAACATGCGAGCCGTCATAGACACCTGCAGACGGGCATTCGGATCGGGGATGGATTGGGTGGCGCTGGACGAAAATACAGGGCGCAGCGTTTGTTTTATGTTCCCAAACTGTTGATTTTCCTTTGGGGATGTGACAAATTTAGCGGTTGATTCCTTTCCTGTTCAACTATCGTTCTTTTCAATCAAGAGCTGTTTTTCGAGGCCAAGCGAAGCAGAGAAACCATTTTTTGGGGTGTGTGATGTGCCAAACCAATCGGACGGTAGAAGGAGGCACTTACCATGAGAAACCTGCTTATTTCAATGTACCCCACAATTCGTGGGAGGTCTAGGAGATGTGTAAAACTAGGGAGACCATCAAAACATGTGGTTTGCTCTGCTTTCCTTTTTGGTGCTTTTTTCGTACACTGGCCTAAAAAAGGGCAACCTCAAAACACATCCAAAATAGTTTGCAAGGGATTCAGCCCCTTCAAATTATGGCTCTGAAACCCTTGTTGTTTTCTTTAGAAAGCCTTGCGCCTGGCGTTCTCCAAAGGATTTGGAGCAACATGGGCCGCGGCTTCTTCCAAGCGTAAACAAAGGTGTATGTATATTTGCTTAAGAATAGTTTTTTTTGGTTCCCTGTTGGTGTTAAAGGGAATCTATCACTGCTGGTGTTTTTTTCCCAGGAGACTTAAGCAATTGGATGCGTGCATATATATATATATACATATATATATATATATATATATATTATGCATCATACGATGTCCCCCCTAACTGCAGATCCCGAAAAGATGGGGGGAACCCCTGAGGGGCTCGCGTAGACCCTCCCACGCGGGAAAAATCTGCTCCAGGAGCTTATTTCGACCCGCCCCAACAAGGGTCCTTAAATTCTCCCAAACGTTTTTCGACCCCCCCCCCACAAGGGTTCTTAAAATTCGTAAGACACGATTCCCGTGGTTTGAGCTTGTCACTTGTTGGTCAGTGCTTCAGCCCAACATTTGATTGCACGTTGCCTCAAGAGGGACTTGGGGACTCGGCCCAAGCTGCCAGTTTATTACTTGACTGCTACTGGGTAACGGATCTTTAGACTTTAACTTTTTGGTTGAAATCAAGTTGCGTTTTCCACTAAACCCCCAAAAAGTTAAACACTTTTTGCAGGGGGGTCAACAGTAACCAAGATTAGGGGGCCTCAACCTGGTTGATATACGGGGTCCCAGATATCTGAAGTTCGATTGTGGCAATTTGGTCAATCGCTGCCAATTCTTCGGTTGCCAGCTCAGGCTTGTCCGTGCCTCTATGAAAAAACTTTGGTTGGTTATATCGGGTGAACATCAGACCCTGCAGGGCCACATTGCTTAGAGACCAGCCGTTTTCAGGCGTGCTCATTTCAATGCAGATCTGTCTCGTCAAACTTTCTAGGATTCCTCGATGCCAAACTGGAAAAAGGCCTGTTTAGACCGGTAACCGCTGGGCTCCTGAATGTGGACATTTTAGCTTGCTGGGGAACGTTGGAATGAACCGGAAGGGGATTTCCTTACAGGAAACCATAGGGGATGGTTCACAAGGGTCATTCCCTCTTACTTTGCTGAGCACCAGCAAGTTTTAGGAATTCCCCAGAATACTGTTTTTTTTTGGTGGCCTGCCATGCAATTAATAAGAACCTCACTTTGATGATGTCGCTTGGATCAAATAGACCCCTGGTTCAGGGGCTCCCCAAGTTTTGTTGGACCACATGCGATGGAAGCCATGGCTCTTCACCTTGCGTTTTCATGGGCCTGACATGAGGGGCCTCTCAAAGATTCTGCGAATCCAGTGGCAGACATATGCCTCAAACAGTTAGATGATGCGCAAAACCACCAAATCACTACTTCCAGTATTCTCCTGATGGACGAAATCCATCTCGCACCACTTTGAAACCATGATTGAAACCATTGTTTGTTGAACTTTGCAGGGGGAATCATCATTCTAGGGACTCTTAGGTGGTGCAGGATTTCGCCCATCCACTGTATGATTGTGGCTTAAGTCAATTGCATAGTTTGAAGCTCTCTCTTTAACTTCGATTCCTGCGGATTCAGGAACGCTCTTGCGAGTCCCGCTGGTTTGTGTGCCGGAAGTTTTGTGGGCTCACTGTTGGAGCCCCACAAGAATGTTGACCCCATATTGGCCAACCTCAGTTTATTAATGATACTGTGGATGAACGAAATCCTGCACCACGTAAGAAACCCGGAAATCCTTGATTCCCTTGTAAATACCAACCAACAACGGTTTCCTATGGTTTCAAAGTGGTGCAGGATTTCGTCCACCCACAGTAGGGGCGTGTCCCTGGGTGTAATGGGGTTCCCCTATGAACTTCCATTTGCTTCGGCCCCCTGGAAAAAGATAAAAACTATTTCCAGTGATAGATTCCCTCTAAAAACCCACAGGGGAAAATGGAAAGAACACCTCGTCTTAAGCAGATGGATGTTAATAGACTGGGGTTGATGCTTATGGGGTTCTTCATTCAGATGCCAAGGCCCAACTCCACTGGGCTTGGGTGCTGACTACGGGTGCCGGAAGTGTTGCAAGGGGAACCAGCTGGAAACCGTGGAGTTTCCCCCGCAATGTGCCGATGGGGTTCTTTGGTTGGCCTTCAACACGGAAGCAAGAGGGGTGTGGAAGGCTGCTTTCCTGTTGGGGTTGGGCCCTTTGTCCACTTCCATGATAGTTGGAAAGAGGGCACAGTTCACTTGCCATGGTTTTTTCTTGTTCTCCTTGCTTCTCCTTTTTTTGGTCGCTTGCCACTAGCTTTGGTGGTTCCTACTGTGGATGGACGAACTCCTGCACCACCTAAGAAACCCCCGGAATCTTGATTCCCCTACAATTATCGCCAAACAATGGTTTCAGTCATGGTTTCAAAGTGGTGCGAGATGGATTTCGAGCCCCCCCCCAAGAAAGGTAATCACCCACCTTCTATACTGGACGTCTATTTTAGTAGGGGAGCCCTCCCCCAAGAAAGGTAATCACCCACAGTATCTTCGGTGGGCCTCCTGGGCCTTCGCGCGCGCGCCTTTTTTTCTCGGAGGAGCACGGCGCCATCTGGTTCCGCAACTTCGAGTCCACCCAGGACGGGCGACTTGGCGGGTGGCCGGGGTCTGAAAGGAGCGGGGCCGCGGCCCCAAAGGGCGGCGGCGCAAAAACCCGGAAGTCCCAAAATGGAACCCAAAGGAACCCAAAAATGGCCCGAAAAAATCAGTCCCTCCACAAATTCATTGATTTCCAATGGTTCAATAGGCCAAATAGGCTGTGGCTCAAAAGCCCGGAAAATTCCCAAAATGGCGCAAGCCCTGGTCAGTGGAAACATTGCGAAAAAACCTGCGGTTTGCCCCTCCGATCGTTGAATTTTGAGCCACACACAAATGATGTTCTTCGGTTTTATCTTTTTTGGTTTCCCTTGGTACCCCCCAAAAAAGAAGGCAGCCCCAGGTTCACTCTATGTTGGGTTCCAGAGTTTGACTTTGTTGGTTGTTCTTGGTACTCCCCAAAAAAGAAAGCAGCCCCATTTCGAAGGAAGGTTCAGGGCTTTCGCAGGTTTCTAAGAGGTCCCGAGAGAGTTCTGGCCCAGTTCCAGATTTTTCTATCGGCTTCGGCAACGGAAGTGGTCCACTTCGGGGTGTGGTCCCTGTCTGAGGATTGGTTTAAAGGGAGACCCAAAGGAAGATCCGCCCTTTAATGGGGTCCAAAGGGTTGGTGGTTCGGGGTTCGAAATTTGCTTCTTGGAGAGGGCAAATGGGACAAACCTCCCAGGAACAGCTTCAAACCTAATCCAACCGCCGATTCTAGGGAATCTGAATATGGGCTTATTTCATCAAGTGTCCTTTCTCTCTCTCTTCAAGCGTAGGCGAGGAATGGACTTGAATCAGTGTGGACATCGTTTGCTTTCCTGGTCTCCCGACACGCAATACAATCTGTATATGCGTTCTTGTTCAAGGGAAAACAGGTGTTGATGAACAAACCATTCAAGCATGTAGCAGTAACTGCCGTAGCCGTAATGTATATATATACATCTGCATATATTTCCAAGAGGCAGTTCCCTTGACACAGCGGGTAGCTCCCGAACCCGGTCCAACCGCCTTTCCATAGGTGTCCTTTTTGGCTGTTTTGGTAGAACCATAGATGGCGATTCCTGGTGTACCTGGTGGTTTAATCATCTACCAGGGAAACCCATCTATTTCCAACCTAAAAGGACACCCATGCGCCTTTCACGTTTTTTCCCCCAAAAAAGAACACCCATGCGCCTCGCACGTTTTCTTTTTTTGAAAACCCGTGAGGAGGCGGACGGGTTCCGGGCCTTCTACGAGTCACTGCAGCTGAACCCGTGCCTGGACCCCATCCACACCTCAGGCTTGCGGGCCATGGAGGAGAAGAAGCACGCGGTCTACGAGGCGAAAACCGATGCGCACGACACCGGCCGCGTGTTCCTTGCGTCGGGGCCAGGTTGAGGTGAGCTGGCCGCTTGTAACCCAGTGATAACAGGGTGGTTTAATCCAGAAGGACATATATATATATATATGTATATGTATGTATATGTATGTATATGTATGTATATGTATGTATATGTATGTATATGTTATATATACATATATGTATGTATATGTACGTATGTGTGTGTATTATATATATATATAGGTGTAATCAGCGCTCTCACCCAAAAGCGCGATGCCGACGAGCTGTTCAGCACGGGATGCATGTGCCAAAGTGGTTCGCTGGGCTCATACCTAGGTCGGCATGTCGTGGTTTTAACCACCCCTGCAACGGGCAGCACATCTTGGGTCTCCGATCCCGACGCCCCCAAAAAGATACGTTTGTTGGGTAGGCTAAATCTGGAAGGGACATTTCAAGCAATACGGAGCCATGAGGAAACAAAAGCGCGGCGCAAGTCAGGATGTTCGGCGAGCCACTTGGGGTGCAACCCATAGGGTAAGCTCCACGGACGACTTACTAAGCTGGAACAGTTTCAAGCAGCGAGTTTCAAGCAGCGAGTTCGGGGACCACATTTGTCCCAACTGGTTGTGATGTTTAGGGGGACACTAGGTGTGTCTCAATTGTTTGGGAAAGCCCAAAAAATATTTGTCTGTGGGTTTTCCCTCAAGACCGACCAAAGGGGGGGTTCCACAAAAAGAAACGGCACGCACATCATGGAAGGTCTTTGGTGTGATCCACTCGCCCCAAAAGGACCATTAAACCTACAAGCCAGGTAACGCAAGGGCCACAGGATCGGTGTGTCGTTGTGTTAGTGGGTACACATTTGTTGGGCTTCTTTGTGAAGCAAAACCCAAATCAGTAGAATGGACATGGGTAGTGGGTATGTTTTTAGACCAATTTAAGTCATGATAGGGGTAAACCATTGGTAATTCGTTTGCCTCTTATCTTGCGGCTTGGCCTATGCTTATCTTCTTGGGTTATTGGCGCGTACATCTGCACTAATCAGAGGCGGTGTCCCTTTTTCTGTGCAATGTAATGTTGACCACGGAAGAATTAATAAAGCCCTATGAACCCCTCGCTAAAAACCGACACCCAATCAAAAGAAACCAGGAATTTATCATGGCTGGTCTTTGGTGAGACCGAATCGGTCCAAAACAGGACCTTTGGAAACAACTTGCCTTGCTAATAAACCTACAAACAAGGTACCACAAAATCCGGGGTTCTCATCACAGCCCGCTTCAAAACAGTCATCCCTAAACTGGGAAGACACTGCGTGCTTTTTTGGTACTGGGGGCTGGCGCGTAGCCTTTTTTGCCCAATAGCATCCGTGGCCGTTTCGGCCTCCTGTTCTCTCGGAAATTAACGCGGCCGGCTCTTAACGACATGAGCAGTCGAGCGGGCCAGTTTACCACAAAGCGCAAAGTCAAGCAAATGGTAGAGGTTTCATTTGGTACCAGCCAGATGTAGGCGTCTTTTAGAGGCACCCCTTTCGGGTGGTTGTTATAGGAGACCAAGAGAAAACAACTGACTTTGTAGTTTCTCGCACTTTGAGACAAACCGATGACTTGTTGCCAACGTCCCTTTTTGAATATACGGGGAACTGGCCATGACTCAGTCACATGAGCAGCATTTGACTTATTCCCCACGTTGGTCCCGTTTTGGCATCCCAAAGTGTCAGTGTAGTTAGTCTTTGGTCCTTTGCGCAAGTCTCCGGCCTGCAAACTGCTGATTTTACAGTTTCTCGCCGGGCTGGCAGCTTGTGAATGTCCTGTAAAGGAAAACAAAAAGGCTTGGCAGGCTTCGCCCTGCCAGTTGTAAACTGGTTTGCTGCGTCCATCCGTCCAGGAATGAGGAAACCAAAGGAGATTGGCATTCCAGACTCCTTGTCTTCCAGACCCCCCCACCAAGTGGTTGTGTTCGTCCAGATATGTTTTGTCAAAGCCTTTCGCCTTTTTTGTCCTCCAGAAGGAGTAGCTTCCGTCTAACTGGTGGTTTGGAGCCCGGTGGTTTGCTGGTTTCAGGGGGAAATCCCATTGCTCAAATCCCAAACTAATCCAAGCCACCAACTAAAACTTCCCGGAAAAATGGTGACACGACAAAGATCACTCTCTCTCTCTCTCTCTCTGTCTCTTTCACTCTGCCCACTGGCCCCTAAGTCCCAAGACCAAATATGCATGAAAAGGCCTACCCGGAGTCTCCATGACCCTTTAAAAATAGCCATTATTTAGGGTAATGACCCCATGTTTAAAGGGTCATGGAGACTCCAGGTAGGCAGCTCTCAGAATTCGCTCGCAGAGCTCGCGAGGCGGTGAACAAGCCCTCCCTGGCCGGGCGCCTTGAAAAAGCCAGGAATGGGCAGTGCCTCCAAGCCATTCGCACTCCTGGGTCGGCATCTTTTTTGGAGTTGGCGCACTGTTTTTTCGAGGGGTTTTGGAGGGTTTTAGCGCCAGGAAAATGGAGTCGGTGCACATTTTTTGGGGGGTTTGGGTTTTCTGGCGCCGGGAAAGCCACCGGTTTTAGCCACCAGGGTGGGAACAAGTCGGGTTTCCGCCCTTCTGTGATACTTCTGTGCTGTGTGGGGAGTGTGAAGATACAGAAGGGGTCCCGGATTTTAAGACACATGAAGTTCGCCTCCGAGTCCGGTGGGGGTTTCAGAAACAAAAGGCCCACAAGTCGGAGCAGTTTCAAGTCGGTTTCAAGCCGAGGACCCACAAGCTTATTGGGGAAAGAGGTGCCATGCTTGGTGGTGCTCTGGTACTCTGGACTACTAGGTTTTTCCAGTAGTGCCCTTTTGCCGATTCATTTTTTGGGGGAGGGCTCCCCTACTAAAATAGAAAATAGACTTCAGAACAAAAGGGTACCCTCATTCTTACCTCTCTACTGGAGGACCTAGATGTACTGCATTGTTAATTGTGCCTACAAACGGAAGCATGCCAAAGACCCGAATAAGGAGCTTTGCCCGTGGCACGTGAGGTGAAGACAAATTGCGAATTACTGAATTCCTCAGAACGACTAGGGGGCAAGCCCTCTTTGTTCCATGTCCTTCACGGCAATTGACATGTGTCTTTCTCTCTTATCACTCTCCCATCCTCGCTGGTAATAAAGACTCACAGAAGCGAGGGAGAGTAAAAAGAAAGAAGGCATCACTTCCTAACCATTTCCCGTCTATAAGATTGGAAAATGAGGAAGTGAGAGATGATTGATGGTGAGGAGATGCCATGTGATTTCTAATAAAATCATCTCCTTTCATCACCATCCTATCATGTCCCTATCTCTCACATCCCTTTGTTTCACCCCTTTGGGGGCTGTTCTAAAGGAAACCATGTTGGAGGTCCAAGGATTTTGAGACAAGCTCACATCGATCGCCATGCGTCACAAGTGGGGGGAATTGAATTCATGGAGGCTTTCTTGGGGGCATCTTCTTTAAGCCAAATGGCTAGCCTCAAATCAGCACGCACCCTGCCAGCCTTTGACCGAGCCGTGCTTGGGCCTCATGGCTGCGAGGTCCCGTCCTGATTGGGTGACTTAAAATGGCCCAGGCCCTTCGGGTGACCATGGCGAACTTTTCCCGTTGGGCAACGGATCTTTAGACTTGAACACTTTTTGGTGGAAATCAAGTTTGGGCTTCCAAAAAAGAACCAAAAAGTGAAGCTCACTTTTTGCAGGGGGGTCTCGCCTGCAACCAAGTTAAATGGGGGAAAGATCAATGCCTGCGCCCCCCGGGCCCTTCGACCTGACCGTGGCTAGAACTTTTGTCGCGTGTGGTTGAACTATTTATAGACTCATTCTTTTAGTGGCTTTCCAAGCGATGGTCATCGCCATGTACAAATGTTATTTTTGGTTAAGTATCTGCTCTTTTTTGTGGTTGGTTTCCAACCGATGGCCGATGGTGATCATCCCCATGTACAGGACCTTTTGATTAGCCCTCAAATTCGAATTTGGTTGGTGTGAAAATGGAAGCCGATTTTTTGCGACTCACCCAGAAGGATTTAGTTGTGTCAAAATGTGGCGGGCCAACATGGCGGTTGTCCTGTAGTTTTGTTTTTTAAAGAACCCAGAAGCAGGGCTCCTTAAAGGATACATGTTGCCCATTTGAAACATGGCTTTTTCCACCAAAACAAAGGGAAACCGCCATTTACAAGGCAATGTTCAGGTGTATATTGTAAGGATCCCTGAGAAAGTATATTGTAAGGATCCCTGAGAAAGGGCAACCAAGTAAAACCCCACCCGGATATCTCTCCGCACAAGAGCCACTTGAGAGCTTGGAGCACTGCTAGCCAAATCAACGAAGGCCTTGAGGCAATGAAGCAAGCCCTCCAATCCCGATTCCCAATCACTTGAGGAGCATCTGAGTACCTGCATTTAGCCAAGGGAACCAGCCTACAACCAAAAGGACAATAGCGAAGGGTTACCTACCAACTGGGATAGTTCTGAATCAATAGTGGCTCAAAATAGCGGAATTGCCATAATGGTTTCCTTTTGCTTTCCCTTCTGAAGAAGAGTCTTTGGGTTTCCCCAATATAAGAGAGAAACCCATATGGCTGTGGGTCAAAACCAAGGGTTCCATTTTGGTGTAGGTGCACCACCCGTTTGAGTCTATTTTAGTGGGGATTGAACATCCGATTCACACTACGGGCTTTTGACCCACAGCATGGCTTTGCCCGGGGATCGATTGGGAGTCCCGGAGTTTTTTTTTTTTTAGAGGCACTTTGTGGGTCTCCACAACGAGTCCACCTTCGTGAAGACTGCCACCTACGGCGCCTTCGTGTGCTTCGAGCCGGCCTCCGAGGGCGGCGGCGAGTTCCTCATCGCCGACGGCGCCAAGATTTTGAAGGCGGGGATGCGGACGTGGGGCTTCGGACGTGGACGGGTGTCCCACGAAGTTCTGCCAAATGGGTGTGGCTCAAAATTAACCAGGAGGGGTTACGCAGGTTTTGGTTCATGTTTCCACTTACCAGGGTTTCATTTTGGTACCGGTTTTTTGAGCCACGGCCAAATGGCAGGCGTTCTACCAAGTCACGGGAGCATTTCATATAGGCAAAAGTGGAGGAGGGGGGGGGGGTTCTACCACTTCAGTAAGATCGAGCCGGAAAAGGGCATACTAATAGGCAGGGGGAGGAGGATGATAAATTTCATTAGATGAATGTGAATTTCAAGTGGGAATCACCTACCGAGCATTTTATACTTACATTGTTTTGGCCCATCCACTCAAGACGTGAGCAACAGGTGTGTGTGTGTGTGTGTGTCATGGTGACCCCGGAAGAAAAAGACGCACCCTACGAGTCTTCTTTGGCTTGGATTCCCAAGCTCGGGGCAACCCCGGATGTTTAACTGAGCTGGAGGAAACTCTGAGGCTAACGTTGGGGCACCCTCTTCTGGGTTTGTTTGTTTTTTTTCCAGGAGAACCAACAAGACGAAAGCTGCGTTTGGGTGTAGCTCGTTTGTTTCAAGATCGGTCTCGGTCAGGCTTTTCAACCAATTCTGTGGATCGGCCAAGGAGTTGGTGTGGCATCTCAAGAGGAGACTAATTTGGGGGGCTATGTGCATGCTTTGTGTTTCCTTAGTTTCCTCTTGCTTTCCTTCAGGAATCTCCAAGAGGAGGTGCAATCATTTTTTGGCATAGTTGAAAGCTGGTCGTTTATGACTCAAGGCAACCGCAAGGCGGTGCATGTGTGTGTGCGCATCTATACAACATATTGATGGATATGGGCTGGGAGTTGATCAAATGGTCCTGGCAAGGACTTTTACTGCAGAGGACCATATCCGGGCGTTTGTGCCCGCAAAAAGTCCTCGAAGGAGTTTGCAACAGAGAATTGGATTGCCGCAAAAGATATAGCGGACAACTTCTTGGAGGCATGCTTGTACGCATGCATATTTGCCGACCAGGGAGATTCTCAGCACCTTTACTTGCGTCCTTGATTCCCTGCCTGTACTGGCGCAAAGCAACATGTTGACCGGGCTATTCTGGAGCAAGGTTCGCGAAAGATCCGCGAAAGACCAGCGAACGCCCATGGAGCTTGATGCAAGGTTCCCCGCATTGGGCCCAGGACAGAGGAATGAGCCCTTTGGGTGTGGCTCAAGAGTAAAGAGCTGGGGTTACGCAGCTGTTGGTCTTTTTTCCCATCCAAGGGACCCAAAAACTTGGCACCACTTTTTTGAGCCACAGCCATATGTCTGCATCTATACATGTATACGCACCACACATGTGTACATCATTCTAGGCCCTCATGGCTTTGCCGCAAGCCGAGACGGCTTGCTTTCAGGACATGGACAAGGACGTGCTGGAGCGCATCTACACGAACAAGGCGCTCAGATCAGACCTCCAGCGGGGTTTTCTCTTTTTTTCCCGGCTTTCCCCTCAAAAATGGTTGACTTTCAAACCTTTTGCTACCAGACCTTCACCAGAGTGGTTCTCAGAGCCCTTCAATCAGACCCCCTTCTAGGAAGGCTCTTTCTCGGGGACGGGGGGAAAGACAACCTAGCAGACGCTGCAGCCCTGACAGCACCATGTTTCGCTGGATGAAAACAAGGAGACAAGGAAGCTGAAGAGAAGGAGCCAACCACAGGTGGAGGTCTGACCCAGGATTTGCCCGTCACCCTGTGTCGGCCGGGCCTGGCGCGGTAGTGTCCGCCTTTTTGCGAGCCTCGTATGAAAGGCCTCGCAGTGGCTGACAGCAAGCGCCACAAGCCAAGACCCTTCCTGTGCTGGCGTCTGGACTTGTCACAGGCAGCTCCTACCTTGGGTGACTCCGAACCAACAAACGGGCGCCCGATGATGGAGCCGAGATTTGGGGACATGTTTCGGCATCCTCAGTCATGGAGAAAAGGCCGCACTGACAACGGGACCCCTCGCCCTTAGGAAGCAACAGATAAAAACAGATACGGGTTTGGGAATTCAAGCAACTATTTGTTCAGCACTGTTTCCTCACTGGCCAGCAAACACTTCAACTTGTTTTGGGGGGATTAGTTTGACCCATGTCGAGACCGTGTTTGTCCGAAAAATGGTGTGTGCCCTGCGGGTTAGGGGAGGAGTTTCGGGGAGCGGTTGGCATCTCATTGACAGGATATGGCTGCTTGTGAAAACCACCGAAACCGGGGGTCTGAATCCACCACTGTCTTGCCTTAGATTGTGGAAGCACAATGCAACACATATGGGCTCTTGATCACGGCGCACGGACCAAAAGGGTCGAACAGTGTGCGCCCCATGTATATCCATGTATAGTTTCACCTACTGGCCATGGTCACAAACGCTTTGCACCCGCGCTTGAAGGTTCGACCAGGTCGTTGGAAGGGAGCCAAAGAGCCGGGGGAGTTTCGCAAACAAAAACAAATGAAGAGGGAGCTAAGGATTAAGCGAGAGCTTTGGAAGGACATGGTAGCAACTTGCTAAGCAAGTTATGAGCATGGCAATACTTGAGATGATGGAGTTAGTTCCCTTTAGACCATGGTTAGAACCTGATTACATGGGCTGAACATGCGAAGGGCATGGTCCTCACAATGGTTCTCCGAACCCTTCGAGAGGATTTGAAGACCCCTTGGGTTTGGCAGGGTTTCCGAGCCATTTCTTTTTCGGAGTCAATGGAAACACCAACAGTGGCGCTCGGTTCAATGAAAACCAACCGTAAATTTATCAATGCTTGGCAGATCGTTTTTCCCCAGGCGTGTCCCCCCCTTCCCCCCCCCCTCCCCCTCCTTTCCCGCGCTGAGGTGCGTATCTCGGTGAGCAACCTGGACCTGAACTTCCTGGGCGCGCTGCCGGACGGCATGCGGGAATCAGCCGCTGACTTCTTCCAGGATCTGATCTTCAAGGCGCCGCCAAACGGTCCCCAAGCTCCTCTTTTTTTTTGTTTTGGTTTTTTTTGGACTTCCTCAAAGGATTGTCCTCAAAATTGTTGGTTTCGTTTGACTTCCCCCAAGGATTCATTTAGCTCTCTAAAGGGAGTCTATCCCTGACGCAAATATGCTTGTTTGGACATATTCGCCAATGGAGGAATAGACCGGATCGAAGCTGCGGACTTTTGCCCAGAGACTCATTTGCGAGCATTGTTCAACGTTGTTTACTCTTTAAGTCAAGCCACCAAAATAAGAGCCGTCTGGGTTTATGGCGCAATCGTTGTGAAACGAGCGAAACCGCACTCTGAAGTTCTCCTTGGATGGGGATCCAATTCGCGCTCGAGGAATGAATGTAGCACTTGCAGATGGATCTGCCGCTTCTTTGGGATGCACGTTTTGCGAGTGCCCAGTGAAGCCGTTGCGAGTGGCTCTTCAATGTTTCAGCCATTCGCGGAATACAATGGCATGAGCTCATGAGCTTTACTTGCTCATTGTTGCCCCACTGGCGCCAAAGGGCGTGAAACGCGTTCTGGCGGCCGGAGCTGGCACTTTGCCGCGGCGAAGGCGCGCGATCCAGGCACGGCGGCCCTCACTTGAGCAGGCAAGCTGTGACCGAGGTCTCCACACGACTTGGTCGAAGTGGAGCGCGGGTGGAGGCCTTGGATCACGTGCTCGGTGCCTTTGCGACCAAAAAGCTGGCAGTGAAGGCGGAGCTGAAAGTTGAGGATGCGATGGGCGGATGGTCCTTGGGAGAAGAAATCGCTGAAGACAAAATTGAAGTTGACACCAGAAAAGGTCCACGTGACTGTGGCGAGTTGCTGGTTGTAGACACGGCGACTCTCAGACGCACTTCATTGACATCGAGAAGGCTGTGGATGGAAAGCCGAAAGCAAAGAGAGGCTCGGATGATGATGAAGACAGCGAGTCAGGATGGCCACTGCGTTTACCGATGACTCCTTAGCGGTGCTGCAACAAACGGCCCAGCGAGCCGCCACACTTGTCCCGGAAGCCCCGAGCGCCACCGTTGCGCTGCATTTTGCGATAGAGCACTTTCTCGCCGGCGTGGACAAACAAACCCAGCGGGTTGTTCAACATGAGGGCACCTCTGAGGGCACCTCTAAATCTACGCCGATCGGGGTTACAGGCCAATCAGGGGGATTTGCCTTGTTTTGGTAGAATTGCGTGGTTGCTTCAAGGCCGGGAGGGTGTTAGTTTTCTGTCCCCTTTGTGTTTCTTTTTTTTGGCGGTGCATCCCACTCCCACAAACATCCCATCATTTACCCCGCTGGGTCAAGTGGCAAACAGACATTGAACCGTAGTTAAGCCACAATAAAGGCTCCCAAACATGGGGAGAGCGGGCTGATGTCTAGAATTCCGGTCATCGTTTCACTCTTTCTGTGTATCACGAAACATGGCATTGGAATTGGGGCACTTTCACCCCTCTCTCTCCCTGAAGGTGGGGGGGATCAGCTCCTTGTGCAATCCAAAGGGCAACCCAAAGAGTTTTCTTTCTTTTTGAAGAGCTCAAGCTTTCCGACAGTTGGCCCCTCAAATGGCAGAGTCGGATTCTGTGAATGTCACGCCTCCAAGTTCGGTCTTTGCGCGGAGGGCGCCCGTACTTGGATGGTCAAGCAACTTACTATTGTATAGCCATGGATGTAACCGTGGTAGCTGGGGTTAGCGCCCTTACCATGGTTAGAACCTACTTACTAAGTAGCTTAAACACCGACCTTCCATTTGCTTTATTTCATTTGGTATTTCCCCTGGTGATCTAAAGGACATTTATCACTACTGGATGTGTTTGTTTCAGCAGGTTGATTGACGCCCAACTAAGTAGGAAAACTAGTTTTGAGGGGCTCCAAGAGTGTTTTCCCCCAATCCTTCGGAGACAGCCAGCACCCTGCAATGTCGACCCTCAGACATTCATGACCCTTCCTTGTTGTTTTTGTCGATTCTGGACAAGATGACTCCCCACTAAAAATGGAACTCCGTTACTGTTGGAGTCTGGCGACACTCAGCTGGGGTAGACGTTGGACAGATGTGTTTTACCTTTTTTTTCAGTGACTCAAAGTGAAGCAAACCATAGAACATATATCCTACAACTGGGAGCTAATCATGCTGGTACTATTCGCATCGTAATTTGGTTCGCAGACTCGGAGCATTTGCTTCTGCCTTCACCCCCACTGCTTTTTTTGGTTACCGCGCTTTGGAGTTTGGACATGGGGGTTGATCAAAAAGGCCTTCACATGGGATGACCATTGAGGAAAACCACTAAACAGATTTAATATTTCAACCACATAAAAACTGGGGGTCTTTGGGAATATAGGGCACCCCCCAAATGGGCATGGGTCAAAATTACACCACCAGAGGAGCGCAGGTTTTAGTGCATGTGTCCATGTACCAGGGTTCCTTTTTGGGGGCCGATTTTTGACACAGCCAAATCTTTCTGTCCCCCTCCTTGGCTTTTTGTCCTCCAGGTCGTAGCGCCCAAGTTCGACATGGACCTGGAGATGGTCTACGGCGCGGACAACAGCAACCCCTACCGCCTGCAGGCTATCGAGCACGCGCAGAGCCCCATCAACAAGCACCCGGTGACCAAGCAGCCGGTCTGGGACCTACCACCGAACGGGGCGTCGGACGGATTCGGTCGGGGCCCGGAAGGAGGATGTAGGTCTCCCAGTTGGTGCCCCGAGGATCTTGCCCCTTTCATTGGTTGGGAGGGGTTTTTCTACCAACATAGAGACTACAGAAAAAGGTTGGTACCAACTTATTCTAACTTCTAACCTCTTGGGGACCTAGTAGCTGAGATTTGGGGCCCGGGAACTCAATTTGGGCCCGGGAATGTTGCTGGTAAACCAATATGTTTTGGGACCGCTCTTTCGGGAACCTCGAATATCGCAAGGGAGGGCTATTGAAATCGCTACGCGATCCTCCGACGCCAGTGGGGTGCAAGGGATTTTAAGACCTTTTTCATTTTTTTCCATGGAAGTGATGCTGGGGATGCTGGACGCAAGGGATGCAACCACACAACGTACAGGAACAGACCCAATCTTCGCATCCAAAATTTCAAGACTTTCAGACCCGCAACATTGACCAAACACAGAAAATACCAGAGCGCTGCTCAGGTGCCTTAAAGGATAGTGTACATCCACTGGTTTTACATGGGCTGATGTTGTGACTGGCCCCAGCTGGCATACTTGAATGGAACCTGAAAGTAGCATCCGAGAGCAGAAAGGATCTAGCCTTCCATAGAACTACCACCAATTCGTTTCCATCTAACCCACAAAAAAGTTTACCGGAACCTGTTAAACCCTTATACTCAAAGGAGAAACGGCTGGTTGCCTTTCTGTTGGAGTAATTGGGATCCACTGTGTTCTCGCTAACACCAAAAGGGAGTTCTGAAGTTGGCCAAATAATCCACCAAAAATCCAGGGATTTGCTGTATGCCAAAGATTCCTCCACCAGAAACCCAGGGATTTCCAGTATCATTCGGCCGCTGGTTTCTTAGGTGTGGTTCTGCAACCTCCACAACCACAGCCGCTACCTCCGGGACCGCCGGCCCTGCACGGTGCCGGAGGTGGGCATGACCGACGCCCCATGGCCGGTGAGGGTTGGGACTGGGCTTGCTTGATATTTTTTTGGCCGGACATTTTGTGGTGGGAAGGGTGGTTTGGAGGGCGGGGGGAAGGGGCGGCCTGATTTTGGATGGGGTTGTGCACGTGTTTTGTACGACCACGCATGCAGTTATTGTGTTTATGCGCATGTTGTATGCGTGTTGAGGAAAGCCAGCAGCTCCAGCCAGACAAATACACAAATGCCGCCAGCCAGCATTGATCAGCATCTTTGGACAAACACACCCATGCCACATGCATACCGGATTCTCAGATGCGTACACAATACAAAAAAAGAGAAAACATACGCAAAACTCCCATTTTACCTGCAAACTGGTGCATTTATAAATCGTTATGGCGGTCAGTGCCAAGATCCAGGCACTTCGGACTTCTTCCACGACATCGGTAATGTCAATTTTGGATGTAAAGTCTCGACCCTGGACCCAACCGCAAAGCCGCCCGAAACCGGTTCAAAGCCAATCCCAAACCGAGCGAGCTGAATCGACTCTATGCCAATCCTAGACCAACAAGCCCACCCCAAATTTCATGCTTATTGCCCAGCTTGAGTTTCATCTATTTCCCCTCGGATGATGCAGGGGCTGAAAAAATATACGGCGGGGTCAGGTCGAAAGAAGGGTGGATCAAGCTAAAAGAAGGGGAGGTGAGACGGAAGGAAAGGGGGGGTCGAAGAAAAGGGAGGGGGGTCAAAAAACCAGTGTGCAGAGGTTCAAGAGATGGAGCTTTGGAGTTTTCAGCTTTTTTGGGTGTTCCAAAGGTCTCCATGACCCTTAAAAATGCGGTCATGACTCCTTTTTGTTTTGGGTAATGATCAACAATTTTTAATGGAGACTCCAGGTTGTGTTTTTTTCTCTTTTTTCTGGGTTTAAGCTCAGCCGGGGGTGTCTGGATCTTAGGTCTACAGTGGCGACCTGTCCACCCTGCCTTACGACGATGTGAGGCTCGTGGTGGGTGTTCCCTTTCCGTCACGGGGGGCTTTGTTTAGGAGGACCGTTGGGTTTCCTGAAAAAACTCCCCCCGGGACGGCTGGTCTCTTCTTGGTTTCCCTTGAAAGGCAATACCACAAAAGGATTTTACCAATTTGAGACGCTACACATGAGAAACGATATAAAACACCTTCACAAAAGATAAGGGTCATTCGAGTACGGGCATGAAGGTCTACCAATTTTGACGTCCGCGCCTCATGATGACGAAGGTGTTTGATATCATTTTGAAGCACAACAGCTTGCCTACGGGATGCCCCGAGCATTTCCTGCCAACGCAACCAGAAACAAGTCAACGGAGCCCCGATTTTCCCATGCGAGTTTGTTTTTCTTTTTTCGGGCATGGCTGGCATTACTGTACGTTGGTTTGGGTACTTTGCTTGGTCAGCTCAGTTCCCTGAATGCCTGGACATGAGGTTCTTTTTGCGAAAACCACTTGAGTTGGAAAACGCGCAGAGCGACTTGTGTTGGCCAATAGGATCCATGTTAATCCTGTCATGTACAGTTTACGGACAACCGCCGTATTTGGGTGTGTTTCGAGGGTGTCCTTTTTGGGGCGGGTTAGGGAAGCCAAGAGAAAAACATCCGGCAGCCACGTGAGGCACATCAACGAGGTCTGCGAGCGCAACATCGAGCGGCTGCTGATGCAGAAGGGTGACGTCGCCCTGCGGTTGCAAAGGTTTCCATAGGGTGGCCAAAAATGGTAATGAAATGAATGTTTACCTCAGATGAATAGACCCAATCTATCAATGGGGTGTCCAACTGAAGATAGAGTGGGGATTCAGGGAACACCCCCAAATCAATGAACAGGGGGTTATTATTCCAGGGTCAACATCACCCGAAATGCCCGTACATGTATGTGTGTTTTAAGGCAAGTTCACAGCCACTCGCGCGCCCAATTGTTAGGTTTTGAACTGTGACAGACGGTCCGGGGGGGTCTCAAAACCCGGCTGCTTCCGCTCCCCCCGCTAGCGGGATCATGTCACAGGGGTCTCACCCTTCATGAAAGTTTCGGGCGTGCAAGGGAAGTAGGTTATATAATTATGGTTATAAAGGCACGAACCTTAGCTACCCCAGTTATCGCCATGTCCTTGACTCATACACTAAGTTGTCATGGTTATAACAGGGTAACCATGATGATGACCTGTTTTTTATATTGCCATGCTGCGGTGACCACGGCTATAACCTACTACAAGTTGGTTGATTGAACATCCAAGTATGGGTTTCTTCTTTTTGAGGGACCTGCCCCCCCGACAAAGATGGTGGTGTTCCTTTTAGTTTCCCTTCAAAACCAACCAAAAAGCGGGTACTCAAGAAATGTCAGACCCTTGTGGTGAAGCATCTTTGGTGCATGTTGCCAAGGGATGTTGCGACTTCAACTTTTTGCCAACTCATGGGTTTTCCGAATCAAACCGCTAGAAGTTAGTCACTTTTAGCAGGGGAGCAGAGTTAGCAACCGAGTCGTTGGAGTCTTTGGCGTCTGAGCCTAGGTGCTCCTTTTTGGGCCCTGGTTTACCTGGTGGAATTTGTTCATCTACCGGGGAAGCCCATCTATTTCCAACCTAAAAGGACACCTATGTTCGGAAGCGAGTAACTGACCAGGTACCCAAAATGGAACCCTGTGAAGTGGAACCAAAGACTAAATCAACCCCTAGACATTTAAGGCAAACAAACGTGGCGTTTTTGGAGTCTTTGGCGTCTTTGGCGTCTGAGGTGCTGCTGGACAACTACCGGGTGCTGCACGGCCGGGACACCTTCAAGGGCGACCGCAAGCACGCGGTGACCTGGTTCGAGAGCTGCGGGGAGCCCTTGCAGCGCGAGAAGCTGGAGAAACCGGACGACTTTATGAACGAGCCCCTCGACCCCGCACCATTTTGTAGGTCCTCCAGGGTCCAGTGGCGCCCTTTTACCAGTTGTTTGGGGGAGAACCGTGTTTTTGTTTTTGTTTGGTCCCGATGCGTTTTTCTTGAGAACCGTGTTTTTGTTTTTGTTGGGTCCCGATGCGTTTTTCTTGAGAACCGTAGTTTGTTTTGTTGGGTCCCGATGTGTTTTTCTTGCTGGTGCGAAAGCATGGTTGTTGTTGGGAAACATTCTACATTTTTGTTTATTGTGGTTTAGTGAGCAATCCTCTTCTAACGTCAGCCAAGAAAGGTAGGTCGCCATGTGTCAACTGCATGATCAACCGTGCTGGTGCGAAAGGTAGGTCTCCCAGTAGTGCCCTTCTTTGACGGAGGGCTCCCCTGCTAAAATTGACTACACAAGAAAGGCTACCCTTGTTCTAACCCCTCTACTGGAGGACCTGGAATGGATTCCACGAAAGGACTCCATTTCTCGTTCCCTCAGCAAGTTTTCGGCTGCCCAGCCTTGGTTTTTGATGGGAAACCGCCAACCTCCAAACCACCTGACCTGAAAGAGTCTGAGTATCCCCACTCAGAATGCCAACTTTCTTGTTAGGCTGTATTTTGAAGTCTTGTTTGCTTTTCTGGGCTCTAAATCGCAGATGTCCTTTACGGGAAACCCAAAAAGGGGATGGATATCTTGGCTTTGCGTTCCGAGGCTCGGAGTTTCCCCTCCTTGTTCCGCGCACGGATTAGGATTCGGATCGCGACTTATCGGTAGATCCCGGGGAATGGTTCATGTATCGGCACCCTAAGGCTCGGTGAGCCAAAGGGGACCATTTTTCGGATGGGTTGAGCCAGCTTGTTTGCATAGGGTTACTCCGAATCTCAACAAAATCGCCGAAACACGAGGGTAGCCTGACATTTTTTCCCGGCACCCCCAAAACAGCGGTGTTCCTTGTGGTTTTCCTTCCGAACCACCAAACCTTTGCCTCAACAAATTGCGGACATGTGTAGTCTTGGGCCCTGGTGCTTCCGGTCGAAGGGCACCTTTTGTAAGTTGAATGTATCATTTGCTGTTCTATTATGATACCTCCAGCGCTTGTTGGGTTCTCTTGTCGCAAGTTCCAAATGTTCGCTTCCTGTAGTTGATTCTGTGAGAACTGGAGGTGGGCAACCACCTGTGACAACATGTGGGAGCTGCTATTGTTTGAACAACCGCCTTCTTGCTATGCAGCTCGGAAAGATGTGTCCGAGCTGATTGAGCGCATGTTGCCCACGACGAAAGCAGCATTTTGGGTCCAATACCTCCTGGGTGATCTCAACATCGCCTTAGTTGAGTCGCCGCCCTAAATTCGCTGAGGCTCATCAACAAGACCTTGGTGTGAGGTCTCGTTTTTCTCGTTCGCTTTTCCAGTGGCTTTCGGCCAGCCGAAACGAAATCCGAAGGCGCGCAAGTGCGCCCTTCCTTTTTGGCCGAGCCGACCACATACCCTCGACAGAAGGGCAGGAAAAGAGTTTGCTACGCGTGCAGATTGGATGGAGAAAATCTTTCAGCTTGTCTTTGGCTCGACTGAACACCAATCTCTTGACTGTTCATCCAGCGGCTCAACCGCATACTGGATAGGTACCCTGATACATACTTGACATATAAAATGTGTGCCGACACAACTAAGCGATCGGTATATGAGCCGCGGTCAAAATTTGACTTCCCCATGTCCCTCCAGAATGGACCATAGACTGAAAGTGTGTACCAAGCCGATAACAGGTGCTTGGGCTGAAGAAGTTTGATTGTCCATCCTTCGCGTGGTCACATGCAACCAGTGAAAGATGACTCTTTGAGCAGCCCCATCCAAGCTCCAGCTTCGCACATGTTTTTGTTTCTTTTTATGACATGCAACTTCAGGTCATATGGCCCGCTGTTCCACTGGTTTAGAGCTTTGGTCTTGGGTCCGAAGTGCGGCCACGGAGCATTTGGATCTGAACTGGGGACTGTTGCTGTTTGAACTTAGGCCCGGTGTTTTTAATCTGCGTCAGGTAGGTATGGTAGTGAACATGAGGGCAGTAGCCCCGCAACCACAGTTATAACCATGGTCATATCCTAGGTGGGGGTGAACGGTTCGAAGCCTCGTGCCTTTCCTCGGAGGCGAACTGCGTCCTGCAGTCCACACGATCCAGTTTTCAGTTTTGCGGATCTCTGAATCATTTTACATGTTCATGACATATAGCTGTGGGTCGAAAATAGGTATCCCAAATGGAACCCCAATAAGTGGAAACATGGACCAACACCTGCGGTCCATTTCCTGGCGGTGACGATTTTGTTTGACCCATACCCATACGGACCAGAACGAAACATGTTAAACCACCAGGTAATTGGACCACAAGTTTTAGTCCTTGGTTCCATGAAAACCAGGGCAAGCCATGCCATTTTGGGGTTACCCTATTTTTGACCACCACAACCACTTCACGGGGAAATAGATGGGTTTCCCTGGTAGATGAACAAATTCCACCAGGTACACCAGGAACGAAGCATCTGATTTTGCTGAAAGGGAAGCTGAGGCAGAGCGATCGATCCAGCTCAGAGGGATCCAATCGGCAGGCGGATGGCTGCTCGGCAAAGAGGCGAAGAGAAGCTGAGCCAAGTGACGCGAAGAGTTGCCGCACGGCAAGCGACAGTGAGGCACTCACCAGGGGTCCTTTTGACAAAGAGTGGCACAATGGTACTTTGGGGTTGATGTGCGCGCTTGCGCCGCATCAACAGATGAGCAGACATGATTGGCATCCTGTCCAAATGAGTGGTGTTGATTCTTGGTGGTTCCCAGCCTTTTCGTTAGCTTTTAAGTGTTGCGTTGGATTTCCATTGAACCCCCAAGGTAGTCACGTAGCCACTCGCGGTGGATTTGCCTCGCAACTCGCGATGCTGGGAGCGGGTCCGGGCACGGATGCACCTGAGCCATCAACACCCGAAGGTCCCAGCCAGAAGGCTGCTCAAAATTAAACGATCGGAGGGGCAAACCGCAGGACAATTGGCCCGTTTTTCCACTTACCAGGGCAAGCCATTTTGGAATTCCGGTTTTTTGAGCCACAGCCAGAAATAGTTGCCGCTGAAGATTTTGGGTACATGGATTTGGGTAGACCATTTTGATGCCAGATTTGAGTGTGACTCACCTAGGCCTTACGAGTCGAAGACTGCCCATGAGAAACACGTCTTTTGCTTCGGCATTTGGCGATGATTTGGCTTGGATCAGGTACTACGCCATTATGGCAGTGGGAAAATGGCACGCGAACCTGTGGCGTGTTTCCTAAAAGGGCCTTCCCCTGTCTCTGTTAGGTTGCTATTTGCTGAATACTTGGATATTTGATAATTTATGTCCTGGTGGTGTTCAAGGGATTCTATCACCACTGGACATGTTTTCTCATTTGAGGTAAGCCAACCAAATGACCAAAAGGGTGTGAACTTTGACCTGGACGCTGTGGGCATCATTTTGGTGGGGACTCATAACCGACCACATGTCGAGGTGTTGCAAGTTCATAGTCAAGCCTGCAGCATCAAAGAACCTATTCCTGAGTGCTTCCCAGCCATTCGGTTCCTGGGGTTTTTAGCTTCTTAGTTGGTTTGGTTGGGTTTTTATTAACCCACAAGCGAGTCACTTTTCGCCGGGGATATGAAAATGGACAGCCCCGAAATTCGTTTGATCGTTTTGATCAGACTTTCTTTGGGCTCCGGTCCTTTGATCGTGGCTTTGAATGAGCCGGAGCAACTGACCCTTCTGGTGTTGGTCTGATCTTTTGAGGAATGGGGGGGCACCCCAAAGGTCCCACGTTTTGCTTTGGGGAATAGAGACTACTTGCTTATGGGTCACAGGCTTTTTTCAAGCAATAGGCTTCCAGGTTGCCTCAAAATTAGGGAGCCGCTGGTCGCGAGAACCCGGTGATCTATTTGGGCTTGAACTCAAATGGGGCAAGGTCTTTCCCTTCCACTTTGTAGTTTCGTCCATGTGCCATTTTTCCCCTCAGTTGGTTTTAAAGGGAATCGATCACTACTCTGAGGGTTGATTCCCCCTTCTCTTCACCCATCTGTTGATAGGTAATGGCGTACCGACATAATATTGGCTCAAGTAAAACAAGCTGCTGCCCGTGCTGACTTTTAGGTAGATCCCACCTTTCAACAGGTTATCAGCCGTATCGCTGGTACCTTGTACAGTCAGCTCTCACCCGCGCCGCAATGGCGTCAAGCGGCGACGGATGCCACCCAGCCATAGCAAGGATGAACGAAGCAGTGGCCAACGAATTGATCAAGGGTGGGCATCCGGAAGGGAAACCGCCATGCAATCCGTCACAGCGCTCCCGAAGCAGTTTTCCTGAATCCGATCAAGGTGATGCGCTTGTGCCCGTCACATCGGTCGTTCTTCCGGAGGATTCGATGGGAAGCGGAGGGGAACCTCTCGCCGGACATCAACCTGGGCGAGAGATGCACGCGCACATGACTAAGAATGAGACTCACCTTCATCAACATCATGTGAGCGCCCCGAATATATATCAACATAGCCAGACGGTGAATGTGGTCAACACAGGTCCGAGCACGGAGGAAGTGGCTGCCTATGCTTCGGCACGCCACGACGCCATCATCAATCAGCTCCAAGCCGGCCATGTTGAGGAAAAAGGCCGACTCTATCAGGACGCGGTGAACCACATCAATGTATGCCAACAAGAGGCAATGGCGAAAGAAAGAGAGTTTAACGAGGCAAGACAGCAGTGGGTTGCTCAACGCTCAGAAGCTGAACAGAAGTATGAACGGCTCAAATTGATTTGGGAAGTCACCCACAACAAGCAGAAGGAGGAAGCGGACAGGAACGCTGCTGAAATGAGGGAGATTATCATGAAGCAGTCGAGGGACATTGAGGCACTACGTCATGAACTGAAATCTCGCAGTGAGCAGAGTAGTTCTTCTAATGTTCCGATTTTCGGTCTGAGGCCAAAGGCCTCTCCTGTACAGACGTTTCCTCCCCCTGGCCTGGATCTTAGTTCTAAGGTACGTGTCAGGTCAGCTTCCACCGAACTCCGCCGTGACGGGCCAGGTGCCGCCGATGATCTTGACGGGGATGCCGGGGAGTACGAACCGACATCTCCGGCACAGGACCTTAACGATGGTGGCGGATGTCCATCAGGCGCAGGGAATGGCCAGAGCGGAGGCGGTGGGGAACCACCTGCCGGTAATCCAGATGATGACGATGATCCTGACGACGACGATGACGATGGGAATGACGACGGGAAGAAGAGCAAGAAGGACAAGAAGAAGAAGAAGAAGGATAAAAAGAAGAAGAGCAAGAAGGACAAGAAGAAGAAGAAGAAGAGCCACAAGAAGCGAAAGAGTGGGTCTCCTTCCGACTCTCCAAGCTCTTCATCATCCAGCTCCTCAACATCATCATCCTCATCATCATCATCGGAGAAGGCACGAGTGATCCGCAAGAAGCTCAACAAGATCTTGGGTAAGCAGGCGAGCGCAGTGGACGCAGACCATGACAAGCCCAAGGTCAAGGAGGCGGAGAGGATTATCATTCCCTCCTTCCCACTTCCTGAGAGTTACAGGAATTGGCGCATCAAGGTGCGGGAAGCCGTATGCGCGGCATCCGATCGCCCCGATGACGCTTTCACGTGGATCAGCAGAGTGTGGGAGCCCGCCGTTACAATCGAGGAGCTCAAAGAACCCGGGACCTTCCTCACCTTGGACGCCAAGTTGCTGTCCGCCCTCACCAACATCATTCAGGGTGACCTGGCGAGACAAGTCGACACCTTCAAGGAGGTAGAGGCGCAGAAGAGGAATCCAGTTCGTGGGAGACAAGTGCTTCTCATGGTGCACGAGCACCTGAGCACGAACATCAAGCACGGAGCCACCTATGCCATGGAGGATCTCCTCAACGTGAGGCTCGTGAACGATAACCTCACTTCCTTCATGCGTAGCTGGGAGGGTGTTCTTGCAGGAATGAATGCCAAGACGCCGGATGACTCCATGCTTGAGGCTCTGTTCTACAACCAGCTGAAAAAGAGCAAGCAAATGCAACACCATTTGAATGTCTATTTGAGCGCCTCGGAAGAGTCCGCCGATCACTCATACACCTACTTGATTGAATCTGTGAGGCAATACCTGTCTCGAGCAAGGCTCGAGCGCAACCGAGAACGGGTTGCTAGGCAGAACGGGGGCAGGCCAGCCGCACCCGCCGCTGAGAGCCAACGTGTGCCTAAGGGGTTTTGCATTGCGTTTGTCAAGTATGGGTCGTGTCGGCGGGACAATTGCACGTACAAGCATGAACAGCCATCGGGCGATGCAAGGGGTAGGACCCCGTCAAGAGACGCTAAGCCAAAGAAGGGTAAGGGTAAAGGCCGAACGAATAGCCCAAAGGGAAAGAAAGAGTGCCGTTTCTACCCTAAGGGGAGGTGTGACCGTGGTGAGAACTGCCCATTTGCTCACATCGACCCGAAGCCGGCCGTTCCAGGGTCAAGGGAACCATCCGCAGACAAGCAAAAGAAGCAAGGAAAGGATCGGAA